TATATATACCCTAGAAGTCCAAAGACTTTTTTGGCACCACCCAAGTAAAGGAACATTTGTCGGGCCATCCAAACACAAATTCTTAAATAGTCGTTGACTTCCAGGATATAACTATGTGCTTGCAAAGATGTTGATAAACGTTGACGGACGTTGATAAACAAAAGCATTAAACAACAAATACACAAGTACACACACACATACGCGCGTATAAATCTGTACACATATACATGCATCTATATACCTACACACACACACACCTATCTTTATACTAAACATGCACAAACATTATGTATTTACATGTTAGATTTTAAGTATATATATATACATGTTTTTACACTTAGACTACTCGCAAGGATCACAGTTGTTTGCTGCACTCTTAGAATACCTCAGGCTGCAAAGGGTCTGGAGGAGGTGAAGACAAGGCTTGACCAACATGCATGTCCGTGTTCATACTTTATGTTCCGACTCTTGCGTTGGTACTCTCGCGCTACACTCTATTCTGTTGATTGCTCTCGTGGTGATGTTCTCGCGTCAATACACCGGTGTATGTCTAGCGTTAACCTTGCGTAGTGCTTGAGCCTGCCTTGAAGAAAAACCTTTTACGAATGCTCTCGGGAATAGCGCGGTTACTGCCAAGCCGCGCCCTCTGGTTAGCGGTGCTGACGTGTAAAACATACAGCGATATATCTAAAACGATCTAAAAAGATGTCAAGAAGATAAACAGAAACACAAACACATGTATACGCATGCATAGGTACATATACATTCATTTGTATAGATATTTATGTATATATATATCTACACACTACACAAGTTAGAGCCAAACACACACACACGCATATATATATATATAATACATGTATTATATATGCACATGTAGAACAAAGTATAAACAAATTATAAATATATCACGTATGCGGGCCCGCTGCGGACCTGCGCGGGCCTGCGGGCCGACCCTCACACGAGGACCATGGCCTATGGACGCGCAGGAGATACCAACATGTGGGCAAGTGCTGCAAGTACGTCCAATGGAGATACGAGTAGGACAGGGCCAGTGGTGCAACTGGGGCAAGTGGCAAGCGGGCAAGAGAAAGCTTACAAAGTCCGTATGTTCTGCAGGCGCTTGGGATATAGACACATTTTTTAAGGTCATTTTGGTGATGGCCATTTGCCCCACAAATAGCTTCCCTTTGTACCTAGTAGTGGTGATGATGATAGTAGTGGTGCTGGACTCAGTTGACTCGGTTGAGCCCACCTGACCCACTTGAACCCGGTTGACCTGATTGACTTTGTGTCATGGCAAGAGGAGGAGCAGTAGAGCAGTAGAGCAGGAGAAGCAGCAGCAGGAGGAGGAGTAGGAGTAGGAGCCTGCAGGAGCAGGAGTAGGAGCAGGAGCAGGAGGAGGAGTAGGAGCAGGAGTAGGAGTAGGCCTCGTCCTCGTCCTCGTCCTCGTCCTCGTCGTCGTCCTCGTCGTCCTCGTCGTCCTCGTCGTCGTCGTCGTCGTCGTCGTAGTAGTAGTGGTAGTAGTAGTAGTAGTAGAAGTGGTAGTGGTAGTGGTAGTGGTAGTAGTAGTAGTAGTAGTAGTAGTAGTAGTAGTAGTAGTGGTAGTCGTAGTAGTAGTAGTAGTAGTAGTGGTAGTAGTAGTAGTAGTAGTAGTATTATAGTAGTAGTATTATAGTAGTAGTAGTAGTAGTAGTAGTATAGTAGTCGTAGTCGTAGTAGTAGTAGTAGTAGTAGTAGTAGAAGTAGTAGTAGTTGTTGTTGTTGTCGTCGTGGTAGTAGTAGTAGTAGTAGTAGTAGTAGCAGGAGTAGTAGTAGTAGTAGTAGTAGTAGTAGTAGTAGTAGTGGAAGTGGTAGTTGTAGTGGTAGCTTGTTTGGGGTCAACTGCGTCAACTGGGTCCGGAGATTTGGCGTGGTCCCCCGTGCGGTTGCAATGAACATTGAGCTTGATTGGCGCTGGAGACATTGGCATACTCTTGCTCATTTTGACTGAAGTTGCCTTCAAGAGATGATCTTGAACATCCTTGATATTGATGTCTCACATCCACCCTCCCTTTTGCTCTCGGGTGAACATTTCGCACCGTGCGTGCGCGTGTCCGTGTCCGTGTTCTGTGTGCGTCTGCTTGTGTGTTTGTTTGCGTGGGTTCATATACGCAATCTCGGTCCGCAGGATGCTCAAAAACACCAATCGATCGTAGGGTTATACCCTGCTTGTTGATGCAAACAATCCCAGAGAACCTGGCGATTTGGAAGCAAACATTTTTCGCTCTCAAAGCTCTTGGCACGAGTCCCTAGTGGCGCGGTGTTTACAGGGGCTCTATCAAACATGTCATGGGGATGAGGAGGCTATTCTCCAAGCTGGGGGGGCATATACTTGAAGAGATGCTTGACGTATCTTGTCCTCGTACCTCTGGCTGTAAGCCGTCCTACTCCATCGTGCTCACGAACACTCCTCCAAGCGGCCTCAGCACTTGGCTGAACAGCCCTTTTTCGCCCATCCTACAGTACCACTACAGGGTCCTACATACAGTACTAGGTTTTGACGTGTTGGGAGAAACAAAAGACACGTTCGTGTCATTTGTTTCTCCCAACACGTCAAAACCCAGTACTGTCTCAACTGCTTGGTTTTGTACACATCCTCATGCCAGAAATATTGCTTTAACATATCGCCTTCACCTTGTTCTCAAACATCATTGCCCACTGCATCTGCTGCTTGCGGTTGAAGAGTGTGTGTCTCCTTGGTAGGGTGCACTTGTGTCTATTGCATCTGTGCCTGTGTCTTTGCACATGCTGTCATGGTACACTAGCACTTGACGCATGAAGGTCAATCTTCTCCTGCGGCCAAGTCATTGCCTTTTCCAGGTCCTGACAATGTGGCGTCCAAATCACTGTGTTTTTCCAGTTCCTAACTCCTTTGGCGTCCAAATGCTTTTCCAGTTCTTAACCCCGTTGGCGTCCAAAAACATTGTATTTTTCCAGTTCCTAACTCTGTTGGCGTCCAAATCACTGTGTTTTTCCAGTTCCTAACTCCCTGTCCCAGTTCCTTACCAATTGCTTTCCCAATTCTTAACCCAGATCCTAACCCCACTTCCCTGTGGTTTAGAAGTTCGGGCTCGTCTTGGAGAAGCTACGAAACAATTTCTTTTCTGAGATTCATCACGATCCATGGCGAAACGCAGGCGAGGGAGGTTAGGCACTGGGTTAGGAACTGGGAAAGGAATTGGTAAGGAACTGGGACAGGGAGTTAGGAACTGGAAAAACACAGTGATTTGGACGCCAAGAGGGTCAGGAACTGGAAAAACACAGTGTTTTGGACGCCAGCAGAGTTAGGAACTGGAAAAGCACAGCGGTTTGGACGCCGACGGCGTAACGGGGTTAGGAACTGGAAAAGCACAATGATTTGGACGCCACATTGTCAGGACCTGGAAAACGCAATGACTTGGCCGCAAGAGAAGATTGACCTTCATGTGCAAAGACACAGGCACAGATGCAATGGGCAATGATGTTTGAGAACAAGGTGAAGGCGATATGTTAAACCAATATTTCTGGCATGGGGATGTGTACAAAACCAAACAGTTGAGACAGTAGATGGACACATTAGTCAAACCCTAAACCACCATGGTACATCACCACCCCCACTCCCCCGACTTCAATGTTGTCTCAGTGAAAAAAATGTTTTGTTGTCAGGGATTTGATTTGATTCGTCCATTCCAACCTCCTTCACCAACAGTCCAACATTGAACTATGGGGGGGGTACGGGGGTGAATTCTGCAAGGGTTTGAATAATTCGTCCACCTACGGTAGTTCAGGTCTCTCAACCTCTCTGGATGTTTTTCAACCAAACTCACCGCGTCCCCTGGACTCCCCACTCATCGGCTGGTTGACCGGCTGGTCGGCCGCCTCAGTGGCGAACGTCTTCAGGGTTGGTTTTGGCTCGTTGTAGGTGTTTGGGAGCGAAACTGGCTTATTCTTGAGAGCTTGAAGCAGGAACTGGTGCTTCTTGGCAGAAAATTGCAGAAAAAACAAGCCCTAAACCCCTTTCTCCACAGCCCAGTTTTCACTGAGGCGCCCACCTTCGGCCTCACTGTCCTTAGACCGCCACCCAAACACCATCACCGATCGGCCGATCGGGCAGTCCCCGTCTGACGGTTTGGTTTCAACTCAAAGTGGGTGAAAGGGTTGGCTAGTTACGGTTTGGTTTGGACTCAGTGGGTGAAACATGGTGAAACATCATCCCAAGTAAAGGTTGAACATGGTTGAACAAAACCACCTCTCCGAAACCACCTACAGTAGTGGATATTCTGCTGCAGCATCTGGCTTGGTACCATGAGTGGTCACGGAGCACATCTGAGCACCATGAGTGCTTGGGTGATCGTCCAGCCTTTACCCCAAAGGAATCACTGGCCCACACAGTGCGGATGACATGCGAACGAAGAACTGGAAGAATGGTGATGGCGATGAATTCACATCGATCAACAAAAAAGAGTCGGTGCACGGCCAGGCACGGATACCTCATGGGTCTATCGTCCGGTGCCCATCCAAAACTCCAAGGCTCCCCAAGGCAACTCATCACTTGCGCCAAGGTCGGAATCTGTCGCAGAAGAGCCCAACCGAAGCTTAGCTTACATTTCGCCGAACAAACATGGACATCGTGGCTAAACATGGACAGCGTTGAGCTGTCGGTGCATGACTTTTCCTTTACGTGAGGTGTTCGGTCCGTTTCTATGCCGGATAGAAACGGGCTGCAAGGGGTTGGCATGGATGTATCCGGCATCCAATTCTTGTCCTCACTGATTGAAGACGGAACTGGCACCCCCAAACGTCTTTTATATGCGAGGTCCTTCTAAACCACCCAAACTGTGGGATGGCAACGTGCCATTTCTCACCTCTGAAGCCACGTACGTATGATTTCTCTCCTCCCGATCACGCCTGGACAGCCCTTTAACTAGCTGACTACAGTCCCTGAAGCCATCATGGAAGTGGAACAGTTCGGCCCTTTTCCTCTACATCCGGGGGTCCTGGTCCGCTTCCATGATTTCCTGGAAGGAGGGTAGACTTCTTGCGAGTTCGCAGCTGTTTTATTCATCGAACGCAGCTGTTTTAGTCATAGCTGGTCACATGCACTCAAGCTGCCAGCAACCGGTCACGCGTGATTTCGCATGCCCGTGCCATGCGCTTGTCCACCTCTGGCAGTGCTGCCCCGATGAGCTTCGGGATCTCCGCCTTGATCATGTCCTCCCGGTTCTCCCACGACTGCGAGAGGTGCTGAAGCACTTGTAAAGCGATGGGTCTTAAGGGTCCTGGCTTCTCGACGGCATCCTGCAGCGAGGCCACCAGTCGTTGGTCTTGCCAAATCTCTGGGCGAAGCTCATCGCATTCAGCTAGCATCGATAAGCCTAACAAGGCCTGCAAGCGTAGTTCTGTCGCTTGGGGGCGGAGCTGGTGCTGAGACACCTCTGAACTCGGCGCAAAGATCTGGTCTGCAGCACCTGAAACTAAGACTTTTTGCACTTCTGGATCTTGCCACATGGATTGCTTGTTCTCATTTCTCGCCATCAAAGCGGTCAATGCACCAAGCGCGCTGATCCGAACACAATCTGGCTGTGTCACATCGGCACCGAAGAGCAAGGCTTCTTTCACGCGTTCGAACCTTGGATTTGATGGAACTCGGGAACAACATCATACACCTTGACGTCCTGGTCCCATGGAAGACGATTTTCCTCTACCAACCAGGGGTGTACTCAGGTTCCATGGGATCGTCTTCCAGGGTGTATCACACCTTCAGTCGAATCCCATTCCCTGAAGGCCGACTTTGCAAAAAGACTTAGGGATAGTTAGTAACATCTTTCATATTCCGTGACAGGCGACACCCAAATTGGACACCCAATGTCTTCCTATATATATTTGGACACCGGATGTCATTTTCCCTCCTCCAAAAGATCCATCAAACCACCTTCTGATACAACCAGGGCTGTGGGTCATGGCACCACCGACTCGTTTACCAGCCCCCAGCGTTCGACCTACACTCCCTTCCTCAACTCACATAGACCCGGGTCCGTCCTGACCCCCTGGGTCCGAGTGTTTTCCTCTACCAACCGACGTGGGCTTTTAGGGTCCATGGAATCGACCTCAGGGTGTATCCCCATGGCCCAATCCAACCGATGCACCTGCAAAGCTGCCCGCTCTCGGCATTGTCCCGTGTCGCTGCGAGGGTCCACAGTGAGTCCAGCCGGCGCGCGAGCGCTGCACCGGGTCGCCATGGAGGAAGAGAGTCCAACCTTGGTGGTGCAGGAAGCTGGGAAACATCAATTCAGGAACATCTTCTCAACTTCCCCCAGAAAGAAGGTCGTTTTCTCCTCCCATTTTGGGGATCACCAGGGGTGACACCATAGATTACACCCACAGCAAGAAGAAGCAAGCACTCTGAGCAGGTTTCCAGGCAACTGCAGCAACTGCTCAGCATCTGGACATGCTGCAGTGACCAAGGCGTCCAACAAATCCTCGTCTGAAGAGGGTTTTTTAGCGGTCAAAATGTCCTCCACCTCTGCAAGGAGGGCATCTGGATCAGCCTCACTTTCGGCGCCTCCTTCAGCCTCTGCTGGCGCTTCTGGTTGAGCTTCAGCCTTGTCCACCGAGTCCATCTGCCCTAGGTCACTGCTCATCTCGCCCGTGGGGTCCTTGGTGGGGTCGAGCACCGGATCGTCCTCCATCTCCTCCTCTTCTTCACTCTCCTCCATCCAAATGAAGTCTTCGTCTTCGTCTTCGTCATCTGGAGCTGCTCTTTGAAGCACTTTCGCACATACTCGGGACGGTAGCAACATTGCCAGAAGCTGTTGCGCACGGCTTTGAGCTGGGATCGGAGTTCCCATCTCAATCTCAACTGTCTCATCTTCTGCGCTTGTTGGACTACCTACTGAAGTTGGGCTCATAGGCCTACTACTTGCGGGACTTGCTGGATTACTTGCTGTGGGACTGCCCTCTAGGCTGGCCCCACTTACAGTATCTTCCTTCATCTCCGGCCTTAAAGCTTCAACCACACTGGCTCGGAGCAACTCATGTTGTGCCATCTCTTCTCGTACCGCCTCATCTAAGGCCAGCTGGACCAGAATGCCAAAGGCTGCTGTCCGGACAGAAGGGTGATTAGGAGGTGGACCTTCTTCCACATAGAGGCTCTTTCCCCTCTCTGGATCGGGTGCTTCAAGAGCATCAAGCAGGCAATCCCTCACCTCTTCATCTTTCCAAAGGTGCCAGCAATTCTGATACCTGACGACGATTAACCCGGAAAAAACTTCTGCGAAAAAAAACATCAGACTTGTTTAATATAAATGGATTGGATTCAATTGTTTCTTGATCACTGCCAGCACGGCTGTGACCTAAGTCTTCTTGCTGGTCCCGCCTCAGCGCATGCGCCCTGAGCTCCATCAACGCCTCCAAACGCTCCAGGCGTTCGTTCTCCCGGTACGGGCCATGGCGATCCAGCTTCTGCAAGAACCTCAAACCTGATTGGGGAACCATGGTTCCATCATACCCCCCCCCACCAAATACCAATGACTTTCCTAGTCAAGGGAGAAGGCCTCACAGAAGATCCCGGAAAAAGAACGGCGGGGCCGATGGAACGGGGCCGGGTGTGTTTCAAGCGTCGAAAGACGTCGAAGATCCCACAATTCAACCCGGAAAAGGATCGAACCAAAAACGTCCAAGAAAAACCACCCAGAAGCGATCAGTGGAGGTCTGCCAGCCGCCCGGCAGCGCGGGCTCTTGTGGGAGGCGACTGGAGGACTTCGAGGCTTTGCCCAGTTTCGACCCTGAGCGCGTGAGCTTCTTGGAGCTGTTTCGGGACAAAGGAGCGGAGCCGCCAGGCACTTGCAACTTCTGTCGCGCGGCCATTGGAGGTCTGGTGAAACATGCAAGTACTTGAGATGGGATGACGAATGACATTGATGTTGAACCCCTGGTGTGGCTTTTTGCAGCTGACCTGCCCAACGAACCTGTGTACAATCCACATGGTCTTGCGCCTTGATACTTGGACCAACAAGCTGCAGCTAAAACACTCAGCAAACTGCTCAGCCTCCACATGTGGCCAACCCCCTCTTGACTAGGTTGGATGCCATCGCTAATTATTAGCACCTTCAGATTCCTTCAAATGCAGAAAGCATCTACATGCCCAAAGCCGTTGGCTCCAGCCTCTGGTGACTGCAGACACATCGATTTCCTTGGTCCGAGAAAAAGAAAAAGGCCCAGCTCCCGTCCGTCCCAACGAATGCTAACACGTTTTGACGAAACGTGTGCGTGGGCGCTGCGTTGTGTTGCGTGTCTGTTGTGTTGTGTGATGTTCCGGAGCCCCAACCGATGGCTGCAACCAAAACAGCCGAACAGCCTCACAGCCAAGTCCATCAAGCTCGCGCTCTCTCACTCACTGCACACGGACAAAGACACCACGTGCTACAGTCGCCACGCGCAAGGCCCAAGCCTTACAGACTTACAGACCTTTCCAGCGAGACTCGTGCTCGGCCAGCAAAGGCTACCTACCTGACCCGTGGAGGTGGGGACGTGCCACGTGGGGACGTGCGTTCGCCTCGGAGAAGGTTCCGAAATGACCTCCGTTTCGCATCGCCTTTTTGGAAGCGACCCCCACGAATCGAAAGCTGGCCAGAGCTACAACCAGTCGATGGATACGGATACGGATCTGCATTCTCAGAGCCCAACCAGGGAGCCAAATGTTGAAAGAGCTTTGCCACAGGACCTTGAGAGGTTTGTGGCGCTTGAAAGAAGTCCCGCGCGCCCTTCTCTGAAAGCACCGCAAGATGGTCAGACTTTGGTGGGTGATCACTTCAGGTTTCTGGTGTGCAAAGGGAATGCCCACAAAACCGCACTTCGTAGACACTTGCTGAGCATGTATCTTTCGGTTGGCAAACGATCATCTCCCTGCGACATCACAAGATGGGAGACCCATACAGTGAAGCGCCACAAGAGGTGAATATCAGGTTTGGCTTCCGTAAGGCTTCGGTTGTAAGAATGAAGTGCAATACTGTGCGGGCCCTAAAAACCCAGGCACTCCTGTTCCCACCTCGCTGATAATGTAAACTCGATCTCATGATATCTCATGGACCCACCCTCAATCATGACCCTCGGGCCCACCTGCGCCACAGGGATTGGGAAGGACTTGCAACCTTGGCAGAAACGGAGTGGAGAGATGGACGAATCGAGCGGCAGGCTTTTCCTCAAAGAAAGCACGTGCAAGGCCCTTTTCCGTATCCCAAAAGCTAAGGGCTTCGGGTTGTAAAAACGAGATCATGGTGACTTCCAAAAACTTCAACCATCGTGGAGATGTCGGAGAAGTTTGAGCATGCGCCGTGGGCATCTTGAGAGCAAATATGTATGTGTATAGAATTACTATATATATATATATACATATGCAACACGTATATATATATATATATTATATACAAATATATATATATATATATGCTACCATATGCTATCCCCAACCCTGGTGCCGAGCCCTGTTTGCCTCAATGAGTCTTTGTAATGTTGTGTAGGATGCTTGTCCTAATAGCATCCACAATGCAGCACGCTGGCAATCGATATGACAACTGTTGCCTACTACTTGCGTAAAAAATACATTCGCAAAGCATAACAAAAGCACGCATTGCAACACATTAGTACACATTCAATTTTAATTAGACGGGTGAACAAAGTTGACGCATCTACCAGCCTTAGATTAGAATAGGATCCTTGGAAATGCAATGTCCTTCACATGAGCCCAACAAATCGTGGTCACATCCTTGCTTTACCATAAGTCCCAGCGCGAGCCTGTGCCAAACAACACGTGTTTCAGAGTCTACTCGCCGAAAATACAAAAGACATAGTTTTTGTTACACGTTTAATTACCCATGTATGCAAAATATTTTCTTTAGTACAGTGCATCCTTCATCTTTGCAAAGACCTATTTGCTTGAAGAAACATGTTACTTTCATGCGGCATGTAAGACATCATTTCGGGCTACATTCTTTAAAGCGCTGTTACCCTGGTGAATGCCATTTTGGTGTGGAGACTGATTTGCAAGCAAAAGCAAACGCACACATTCATCACACCCACTTGTTTCTAAGAACCAATACCCTCTTATATTCCTTCAAGGAAAATTACCGTTTCAACACTTCCAATGCAATTGCAAAGGAATTCAATTTTTTTTAAACAAATAGTGCTAATGAAGCCCATTTCAAGAATAATACCTGCTTGCCCACCAAGAATGTGTCCAAATACATCGAATTCCAAACGATTCTTGTGGAAACAGGCACAAGAACATGAAGAAAACCACATCCGGAAAGAACCACACCTGCCAACATGACCTCTGCTGCTTTAAAACTTTGAGTAAAGGGGGTGTCATTGGTCTGATTGGTCTGCTCCACAAAAAGAACTCAAACATGATCAGACCTATGTCTGAGTCACCAAACTTAGGACATGGGTCTGATTTGTTGGTGGGCTTTGTTTGCAAAGGAAAAACACAAACACACACACAAAAATAACTGACCAAACCTTGGTCTGGGCTAGACTGGATCAATCTTTTCTTTTTTTGGCTTTGGTGGATCAGTGATGTGCGTACATGTTTGGTACCTTCACCCTGCTAGTTGTGCCAAAGTACTTCATATCCTCAAATCCTACGAAGTATATACAACCTTTGGGGGGCGGGTTATATACTATATATTATATACAACCATTGGACCATCCTGGAGCAAATCGAGTATGAACCAATCCAAGAACATTCCAACAACATGATCAGTGTCCGTCCGATTCCTGTGCCTGCTGTGTGTGCGCCATACTTCCATGTACACCCAAAGGGCAAACATGCCCCACATAGGACAGTTGTTGAAGCGGAAAGAGCCGCTCTTTCGACTTCCAATTCACGATATGTTCACGGGACTCGTGTCGCAGGCCATTCGTCGGCAAAGGGATGGGTAAATCTTCAATCTGGAAGAGAGACTTCCTAGCCGAATCTTTAAACCCTTGGAGATCTTGGAGAAAAAGAACCTTGGTACGATATGGTAAGATCTTAACATGACGCATCCAAAAAACCATGACAGGGCACGGTTTTATCGGATTCCCCACACCGGCGGACTGAAAAACCACAGCACGACACCCTGCAAACGAAAGACTCCTCCAAGTTGGGAGCTGAAATATGAGCTGCCATTTCCAGCATGGCCTGATGATCACGCTGTCATTCTGAGCTTGTGCAAATCAAGGACCGGTTTGAACAAATGTCATTCCGCCTCCTAGCCTGTCCATCGCCCACGCACGTGGAAAGAATATGAAAGAATGAAACAAACAAGGATTTCGCATGAGCACGTCTCACAATAGAATGATTTGTCCTTCCAAATCGACCAACAAAAGTGAGCAAAGAATCAAACAAAAGTGAGCAAAGAATCAAACCTGCCATTCCACGGGGCCCGCCTCCAACACTCAAGAGAACTCCTTATCACATAGTTACCCGTCTACCCCATCTACCAGCCGTTCTTCTGAGTGCATTGGGTGTGGACCTGGTGTTTGGCCTCCAAAGTGGCCACATCCAGAGCGTTCTCCGCTATGTTCAGCCTTACGCGTTCGCAGCGTTCCCGGCATTTGTCAGAAACTGAAACCGTGGACACACTATGGGTTAGCTAGCGACCTTGCTCCGTCCTCTGCAGTGCAAAATGGAGATAATAAAACACGTAATAAAGGACTTGCGTGCAATGGCATGCAAGGCTTTGTTTCGGAAACGGGTTCGCGCCGCTTGCGCCAATGACTTGCATTGACTTGCCGTCGGCACAGCTGTTGACCCGAAATTCTTCGACCGGGTTCCAGGTGCGCCTTCGAACTCGCTCATGGTCAAGCACCACCTGCTTGCAAAACGGTCACCACGGCACAAAGAAATGATCCCAAAGGCGCCAAACTCCTGCGGATGACCTGAGACGTCTTTCTCATGTGCAGGAATCACGTCTCCCAACGAATTCATAAACACTTGGGACGTCAGCTCATTCCCGTTCAACACGGCCACCATCGTCTGCGATCGTTCCACCGTCCGCTGCTGAAGAATGCACGGCTCAGGGCGGAACGCGCGGAGGGCATCGTGTCTAGTGTAGAATCTTGTTTCATACCCCCCCTTTGGATCGCAAAACCTCTTGATATGGGGGGTTGTTAATAATAACCAGTCTACATTAGAGGATATTAAAGGTATTCCCATCTTTCTTGACGTGATGCTGGGTTTCAAAATCTGGTCAACTGTGCGATCGAACATGTCTGCGATCCGGTGACACATGTCTCAACTGTCGCATACCTGTCCAGCCGCGCACATGTCTCGGCCGATGCCTGCTGCCACAAACTCAAGACGCCCTCAGCGTTTAAGCTGCAGCGCCGCAACCTTGAGGATCGGCTTCGGCTTGAGATCGCAGGAGACTTTCTCCAAGAACATTGCTACAGGGTCAGGCTTTTTCGGGCTAGGGTTTTGAAACACCAACCCAAAAAACTGTGCCAGTTCTAAGCCATGGGCTCAAGCTCCAAAGGAGGCGCCTCAGGTCTCTCAAAGAATTTCGATCACGACAGAGAGGGGCTGTCACTGGCTTCGTGGTCGTGGTCTCCAAATATACTGCTGGAAATGCTCGCTGTGAGTCCGTCACCGGGGGCACCTACCCTTCTGAAAAACCACACCAAATGAAGAGAAGACCCTGAAGAGAACACTCCAACCATCGTCCACCTGCGTCCTGGATTGGCGGGGGAGCGTAAGTCCCCACATCGCACAGGTGCTGCTCGACGGGATTCCCATGAGCGGACACCCTTTTCTTGACGCTCCACTGATGGACCAAAGCACCACGAGTTCTTCCAAGGCAACATGATGTCCCCTCCACAAACCATGTCCTTTAAAGAACACCATTTGAAGGGATTTTGTGGGTAGGTTGGTCAGTTGGAGTGGCACCCATTTGATCATGGCTGTGAAAGGCCGCTCAACGTTTCAGTTGGCTTGAGAACCCCGCAAAGTTTTGTCTGGAGGCCAGAAGGTCCGCCAAGCACATGCCACCTCAGCCAGGTCGTCTCGGTAGGTTGGAATGAAGGGAAGTGAGACAGGTATATCTACACTACACGATTTCTTGTGAACAAGTTAAAGCTGAGCCAGAGGATGCACTCTGATAATAGAAGCATGATTCCAACATAATTCCAAAACATGATTGAATGGGATTTCACCTCTCAAGAGACTTTTCACCTCTCAAAAGGCTCGTCCATCTGGGCCACACAAGCAAATTGTTTGAAATGCACCCATTCGCGCACTGTGGGTCATGGAGAATCTCTGGTCGCGCTGTGGTAACGCTCAGCCCACTTGTCTGGTGTCAGCGTCCGGCTGGACATTCGCCTTGTAAGGGTGGAGTGAGCGCCCCCCGTCCGCACTTTTCCGCACAGCTGGCTCTGTGGGCGGCGCACGCCTCTAAACTTTCTCAGCTTTTCCGGCCTTTGGCAATGGTTGCCTAGCATAGCGATCGCTCAGTGACTTGGCACCAAACAAAGGTCACAACATGTCACAACAATTGGCAACTCTGGGTTTGACAAACGGGTTGCAGTGTAATCCCGCGGTCTTGGTCTCGGTCGAATGTGTTCAACTTGCGCAACACGACATCCACAGCGTTTCCGCTGATGCCTGGCCTAGAATTTATTCGACACCTATGTTGAGGAGATTCCCAAATAGGTCATGCAAACGGTCACACAGGTTCTAGGTGTTCCGCTGCTCAATGTCTGGACATCCCTCAAGCCTTGGCCTTTGCTTTGGCCTTCTCTTTGGCCTTGGGCACTGTCTTGGCCTTAGCCTTCGCCTCACGGTCCGTCCAGGCTGGGTGGAGGTGCTCTTGGGGCTCTCCTCCCTCGTGTTGGTGAAGTGCTCAAGCCTCAAAACCACCGGGTCAAGACCCTGGTCAATTACTTGCTATCTGGGCGGTTTGAGGGACCACATTTTTCGTCAGGATTGGCTACCAGCCGACCGGCCAATTCAAACATCTTGGATCCGAAGAAAGCATATTGATGGCAGCCATCCTTCAAGCCTTGTGTTGCGATGTGCTCCCCAACTCACCAAATCTCATCGTTCAGCCGCCAGGACGCACCGCCAGGACGCCGTGCCGCACTCGCCTTGGCCTTCGGTGCTTTTCGCTTCTCACGGTGCGTGCACAGCGGGCAGAACCAATCCTCGCTGGGCACCTGCAGAGCATCGGGATGCTGCGTTTCATGGCAACATCTTGAGCTATGACCCTGGTCAGAAAGGACGGTTTGAACAAGCAAAAAGCTTCAAGATCATCCAAGGTCCTGGCCTGTTCTAAAGGTGGGCTCAAGCACTTAATGTGGATGGTGCTGGCGCATGACTTGCAAAAGTTCTCGCAAATCAGCAGCTCCTAAGCTGGGGTCTTTCGCGTTCCGTTTTGAGCTGAGCTTGGCCCACCGAACACGTCAGTGGGCCAGCTTGGACTACCAACAGGCACGTCAAGGACGCACAATTCTCAGCTGGTGCATTCTGGTGGAGTTTCCCCACCAAGGATGCAGCTGTTAGATGCTGTCTAGAAACCCAGAAACAATGCATTGGATGGAACCCCCATGCCAAACAGCAGCTTCCCATGTTTCTATAGGATCTATTAATGGCCTTGTTTCGGTTTGGAACCGCCTTTGGGACCGGCTTTCCACGCTTCCATGAAATCAGCGTCCAAATTCAGATCAGTGAACTCCAGCTTCCTCAACCTCCCAGCAGCCCCATTGTGGTGCACCTTCTCAGTCGTAGCAGGGTGGTATAGGACTAGGTGGGACCAAGCGTCGTTCCATTGAAATGAGCAATTCCAATTCACTGCTAACTAGCTCCTCCCAAGTTGCTTGGTAGAATTATTGGGTGCCCAACACCACGTCTGTCCCGTGCTCCACGTCCCGTCCTTTTCAGGCTTCGCCTCCAGACACGGGCAGCTGAGAGCACCACGCAGAGCACCGAGAAGCAAGGCGACAAGTCTTGATTCAGATTGGACCAACATCGTGGTCCTCAAATAGCCACTGTCAAATAGAAATACTAGGACCTATAGCCAATGTCCCATATGGTCAATCAGAGAAAGAGTAAAACCCCACTCAAAATGGACACTGTGCCACTGTTTGGTCGGATCGGGGTCAAGAACCCCGACATCCAACGGTGGAACTCACCAGGAGGGAAACCTACGGATCTACAGGGTAATCGTTCTTCAGTGACTGCAACACCGGACTGGAGCCGACGACAAAGGGGAATTGATCCTGCAGGGCTTTGACACCCGCTTTTAGCACAATGTACACCCGTGAGTTCCTTCAAAATTTTCATGTATATTAGGATGCAAGATGGTGCAAATCATTCTAGAGCAGCTAGCAGCTAGCAACTCTGCAGAACCAAACGAGCTCCCAAAAGAGCAGCAGTGTTCTGACCCGCACTCATCTGCACTCCTTCCTGCCACCGAGCCCAGATTGACCCATGGGATGGAGGTTCTCCCGACCGGCACCAGCGCCTCCCCACATTGGTTGCAGGTAGACACCTCCGTCACCTCCTCCTCAGAGCTCTTCGCCCTTGGAGGCGAGTTTGCCGCATGCCCGCGTGGCCCGCCGGTACCGCCGGTTTCGGGTGTCTAATGGTCTCGTCGCTGGGTCGAACCGCCGGGTCACAACAATGCCAAGGGATAGGTTTCCAAACTGGGCGCCACCTCTTGGTCTTTGGTACGCAATGCCAACATCTGCACCTCGGAACTCGCGATTGTGTTGGACCCACCGCTTTCCGATCCAACCGACCGGGGCACAAGAAATGGATCTGGGAGCGTGCGCTACCCTAGGCTTCCAAGCACCATGAAATTTATAGGCTGAATCCCGAACCAACTAAGGATTTTACACTACAAAACCAGATCAACCATCTTTTAATGGTCTTGGAAGTCTAGGGGGTATATATATATATATTATATATACAGCACCCCAGGAAGTCCAAGGCTCTTAAACAAATATAAACAATTGGTCTTTGGGTGACCCGAGTCTAGGAATTTCCTTTACTTGAGTGGTGCCCAAAATAGTTTTTGGACTTCTAGGGTGTATATATATATATATACATACATACGCAGCACATCATTCCACAGCCCACGCTGGCAAACTTTTTCTGGTTGGTGCTTTCAGCTCGGGTTCAATCATCCCAACTAAAGGTTGAACATATAAAATCATTTTTGAAACCACCACCCAGTTTTGATCGACTGCATTGAGCTAGCAGGTGGAAGACCCTGCAGACCTTGGCCAACTTTCCAGTGATGGACTTCACGATGCCAAGTAGATCGTTGGGCGCCACCTGGGATCAAGATCCTTTGGGTATCTCATTTCCAGTAACAAAGGATGATGATGACTCAGAAAATGTCTTTTGGATGAGGGTCCATATAAACATATCATGTTGCGTTTATCCCAGGCAGTGGATGATGAAGGTTAGGTTGCAGCTTTTCTCAAACATAGCGATCACCTTTTGCCGCCTGGCACTGGTAATGGGACACTCTATTGCTCCACACTTCATGAGGTTTCCACTCCTCAGATTGAATTGAAGAGATCTCTTAGTAAAAAACTGCAAGAAGATCTCCTTTTCTTTCGATTTCGAGCCTTCACTGATTTCCCAGATGTTCGAGCCTTCACCAGGTCTCCCTCTTCTATCGGCTCCTCCTCGTCCTCTGTCAAGGCTTCGCTCTTGTCGTCGTCCTGTCAGTTCGGTGGACAAAAACCAGCCTCCAGGTTCGGCGGTCGGGCTTGGGGGTCAAACTCGCCACGGAGAACACATTTTCTTCAAGACATGCACAAAGACATGCCTTGTTTCCGGGGGATTTGCTACACACAGACATGTATATATATATATATTCTTTTTTGTTCTATTTTTTAAACCTTGCTTGGGTCGATGAACACGATGATTCACATGTGCTTGTTTTCGAGTTGGCGAGTTGGGGGGCACTTAAGGTCCGAACAGGCCTTAAGCCCTCGCCGAGGCCTGAGAGGCCATACGGTCACACCCCTGGCACGGCGCCATGCCAAGTCACCTCCGTGGGACTTTCCCCCCTAACTGTGCAGCACAAGTCGACAGGGCGCAAGCAAAGGGCGGCTAGAGTGATCCATACAGATTCCCATTCAACCCTTCACCAAGTCTTCAATGCTTGAAGTTCGATCATGATGAGTCGACCGCGTCTACTGTACATGCTCAGTTTGGTGTCCAGATTGCTTGTACACGACCGGGGGCATCCCCTCTCTTAAACAACCAGCCACTCGTAAAAAGGCCGTGAAATGAGATATCCATGAGAGTGGTTGCAGTACTGGGAAATCAGCCCTGACCCACCGAGCGTGACCACATGTGTGTGTGTCCTTCAATTAATCCACCAGCATCCTTTCTGATCAACAGGGGCATGCGACATGCACGGACAAGTGTGCACTTCACCTTCACATCATCGTTTAAAAAAACAAACACAAACAGACCTTTGTCAGGCACATGGAGGTCCCAATATACATATACGTATATATATATATATCCCTATTGCTTTTGTTTGGATGTGCCGCAAAAATGGACCCACGATCCTTACGTGGCCGTCCTCACCGTCTTCCAAGGCTAGGGGTGCGTCGATGCCGCGCGCCGCTGTCAGCGCGGCTTCGTCCACCAGCTCTCCCACGCTGGGGAGGGACACAGCGCGTGCCTGGGTGGAAACAGCTGGAGGTGGAAACGAAGAGGGCATTTTTTTGGGCTGAAAAACAGGTGAAACATTGTTGAGCATATCCCATCCTGAACCCAAGAATGCTAGTGAGAAAGGGATGATGATTGGTTTTGCGGGTTTTGGGTGGTCTTGGCCACTGTCTGGCTAAACTTTTGTGACTTAAAGCATGACAACAGCTAGCAGTGCAGCTGGCAGGTGGGCTTTCGAACACACAAGCTGACGCCCCAAATGCGGCGCTCCGGCCTCCCACGGTGTCCGTGTGGCTGAGGGTGGCAAGGCCAATGAGACCAGGTTGGACAGCGGCAAAAGTTCCAAGGGTGGTGGTGTGAGTTCTGCTTTGGGCTCGAACATCACCCAAAAGCCTTGCTCCTGGCGTGGTCGCTTGCTGCTCACGTACGGGCCCGGGCATCCTCAGACTGGCAATCCTTTCTTTAGAACCCTGAATTTTGTTCCAACACGTTGACAGCATGCCCTTGCCCATGGTATTACATTTTTTTGGTTCATGCGTTCGCATGTGTATATTATTGCCATACATTTGTAATACCACGAAATAGTATAATTTGCAGTATATCTAAATAAATATGGGTGTGTGTGTACCCCTTGGAATCATAGGGATCCTCTTGGATGGGAGCTTATTTGTTTTGCTAAAATTGGCAGCAGGGGACCAGGCCAAATACATTGTCGCCTGGTCAAGCTGGCGATGTATCTGAGGAAATGGAAATGGGACGCCATTTCCACGTACCTGCTTTGCTATTCAGGAAAACAGAAGGAAATTGTTCGTCGGCGTACTTGTGCGTCGGTTCCTTTCCTTCTGTTTTTCCTCTATTCTACTCTAATGGGGTGATTCGTTTCGTCTCACCCCTAGCTACAAACAGGAAGCTTCTTTTCTTTTCCTGCAGGTAGGCCTTCAAACTTGTAACGCGGGCCTTCAACCTGGATGCGATGGCCTCCAACCACTAGCAATGGCCTCTAACCATGGCTGTCTTGTGTTTCTTGTGTTTCTCGTCACCAACCTACTAGCGATGGGGTTTCGATGGCCTCTAGCCTAAGAGCGAGGACCTCCAACTTTGACTGTTTTGCAGTCTCGTTTCTGGTCACCAACCTACTAGCGATGGCCCCTCAACCTGCCTTCGACGGCCTCCAACTTAAGAGCGGGGATCTCCAACTTTGACTGTTTTGCAGTCTCGTTTCTGCTCACCAACCTACTAGCGATAGCCCCTCAACCTGCCGCCGACGGCCTCCAACCTAAGAGCAATGACCTCCAACTTACTTGTCTCGTTTTACTCAGGCCCTTTTTTGCCTAGGTTTCCGTGTGGCATGTGGCATCCAGATCAATACGCATGTCAATAAGTCAATAAGTGTGTCTGACCTTAGTGTCAGCCCAGGGTGACCCCGAAGAGTGTCTGTGGACCCGTTGAACGGGGGTTTGTCGAACGTATCCCCTGCCTGGATACAGAGCAGCTTGCAGCGAGCAGAGGTGGCTTATGCCAAAGTTATTTGCCAAGACTTGATGGACTATTGAATTCTAAGATGGCTTCATGCCAAAACTGGCTAAACGCCACCACGTGGTCAGAGCGACCGAAGTTCTTTGTAGGTTCATTGGAACCTGTCTCCATCTCAGGTGCACATACAGCGTATACACTTGAACGAGGCGAGGTCTACCTAGGTGTTTCTAATGAGGATCGGCGTCGTTGGTTTGCATCCCCTTCATTTGGTTTCCCTTCTCATTCCTTTTCCCCCTGACACATCTTCTTTTCCTCTTTCGTTTCATGTCTTCCTGTCTTCATGTTCCGTCATCTCATCTCCTTCTTTCTTTTGCGCGCACACGGCTCGGCCCTTAGTATGTACGTACACAACCTAGCTTTAACCCAGGTTTCAGGTCGCCCAGGTCTTTACAATGAGGTGGGCTTTCATCGTTTGTCCCTGTCCACTTGGTTCCTTTTCATCGCAACCACATACACCTTTGTCCCGTCTTGTCCCCTTTTCATGTCTTCATTCTCTTGTCTTTGCTGCGCGCACACGTGCACAATTGCCTCCCCAAATCGGGGGCGTGTGTGTGTGTGTGTACCCCTTGGAATCATAGGGATCCTCTTGGATGGGAGCTTATTTGTTTTGCTAAAATTGGCAGCAGGGGACCAGGCCAGATACATCGTCGCCTGGTCAACGAAGCTGGCGATGTATCTGAGGAAATGGAAATGGGACTGCTTTGCTATTCAGGAAAGCAGAAGGAAATTGTTCGTCGGCGTACTTGTGCGTCGGTTCCTTTCCTTCTGTTTTTCCTCTATTCTACTCTAATGGGGTGATTCGTTTCGTCTCGCCCCTAGCTACAAACAGGAGGCTTCTTTTCTTTTCCCGCTGCTCACCTACTGATAGGTTTGCAGGTAGGCCTCCAAACTTGTAACGCGGGCCTGATGGCCTCCAACCACTAGCAATGGCCTCTAACCATTGGCTGTCTTGTGTGTCTTGTGCTTCTTGTGCTTCTCGTCACCAACCCACTAGCGATGGCCCCTCAACCTGCCTTCGACGGCCTCCAACCTAAGAGCAATGACCTCCAACTTACTTGCCTAGGTTTCCGTGTGGCATGTGGCATCCAGATCAGTACGCATGTCAATGAGCGTGTGTGCAACTATGTGTGCATGCTAGCCCCCTGCATTGTCCCCACCACAACCTTCCTAGCGAGCCCTCCTCTTCCCAGGTGCTTGGCCTCTTGGGCCGAACATCTTCATCTAGCCCAGAAGGGGGATCAAGCCAACATATTGCGAGCACACCATTTGTTGAGTCTGTATGGGAACACAGAACACAACCAAAAGGACCCAGAACCACCCACAGGGTGATTTATAGACCCACCTGGCCATGCGTGTTCTATCCGATATCCACCTGGGTGGTGCTGGACATTATATTTCACACCGCTTTGCAGTCGAAGCCGCCCGCATGGATACTTGTGCTCTCTGAGCCGGGAAGCAGCAGCTCCAAAAGCAGCAGCAGCAACAGCAGAAAAAAGAGCAGCAGCGGCAGCAACAACCACCAAACAGCAGGCAGCAACAAAGCAGGAGCAAAGCAGCAGCAGCAGCAGCCGCAGCAGACCAGTAGAAAACGCAGCAGCAGCAACAAACAACCAGTTGGTTTGGTATATACCGTGGTTGGTGTAAACCGTGGCTGGCGCAAATGGTGGTTGGCGCAAGCCGTGGTTTGGTGTAAACGGTGGTTGGTGTAAAGCGTGGTTTGGTGTATGGTTTCGTGTAAACGGTGGTCTCTTTCGGCAAGGCCACACGGACAAGCACACACACACACACACTTAGATTGTTGCTCGCAAGAGCTAGGATCAGTATGAAGTCCCATTTTACACGCATTAGACCTTGACTGGAAAAGAAAGGCGGCGAGTCCGAGAACTTGAAGATGTTGAACAGTTTCGTTTGAACCTGGGTGAAACGTGATGAGTCTGTGTTAAAATGAGCAGGTACACAGTCAGACGTCTCTGACTGCTTCCCATGACATCACTAGCTTCGTTGGCCAGCGTCGTGATGTCATGCGCTGGCCCCCTGCCTCTTTTTTCCGCGCTGTTTTTTGATTTGAACAAACTGCACGCTAATAGCGGTACCAGGAGCCCTTAGTAGCGAAACCAGGGGGCCCTAGTAGCGTCCTAGGTGTGGACACACACGCGAAGCCGTACTCGGCGCGCTCTCCCCTGCTTGCAACTAGTAGCGAGGCCAGGGGCCCCTAGTAGCGTCCTTGCTCCCCGTAGAACGGCCAGAGAACGGCCAGAGGCCCCTGGTAGTACCGTCCTGGCTCCTAGTAGCGAGACCAGACGCCGCTAGTAGCGTTGTTTGTGACGCAAAGCCTTAAGCACATGTATGGAAACATACACAAACACAAGGCCGTAATCGGTGCGCTCTTTGTACACTTAGCGCCAATATTGGCGCTGCGGGACAAATTCTTTACTAGCCACCCTAAAAAGCCTTAGAAAGACAGACAAAGCAATCAAAACAAAAGCAGACTAAGAGGGCAAGAAAGAAAGATAGGTGCAGTTACGAGGCCCACTTAGTTAGACGAAAGTAGTTAGCGAGCGGGACTTTGGTCTTATACCGCCCGGGTAGCTAGAAGTAGGACAGGAGAAACAGAAGGAAAGGCACCAACACACAAGTGTGTTGAGTGAGATTTCCTTCTGTTACCCTGAATAGCGGGTGGGATAGCAACGGAGGCCCAGGGGCAGGGAGGTAGGGGGGAGGGTGGGTTAGGGTGGCCCGAAGGCATTGCCATCATTGGCGTTCAAGTAAAGCCGATTTGGGCCGACGTAACCCTTGTCTGAAAGGCACCTGAAACCCCTGGAGAAAGGCCTCAAGAAAACGAAAAGCAACAGCAAGAAAGAAAAACCCAAACAGACCAAGAAAACCCACTCTCGTGTCGCGCTCACTTCCGGCCTGTGAATACTTAGCAGCATGACATGGACATGCGTGAGATTCCAAATTGATCTCAGTAAGCCCTGCGGCATAGTATCAGTGGTATCATGCAGCACCGCGGATCAAGGGGAATCAAGAGAAGTCCAAGAGTGCAAAACGAAGCATTCAGAGTAGGTCCCCCAGGATCTGGGTCTGTGCACATGCGGCGCCCCTCGACGGGGATCACACCACAGCCCTCAGTGGGGACCCTGTGGCGAAAACACACTTAGATTGTTGCTCGCAAGAGCTAGGATCAGTATGAAGTTCCACTTTACACGCATTAGACCTTGACTGGAAAAGAATGCAAACAGAACGGCGGCGAGTCCGAGAACTTGAAGATGTTGAGCAGTTTCGTTTGAACCTGGGTGAAACGTGATGAGTCTGTGTTAAAATGAGCAGGTACACAGTCAGACGTCTCTGACTGCTTCTCATGACATCACTAGCTTCGTTGGCCAGCGTCGTGATGTCATGCGCTGGCCCCCTGCCTCTTTTTTCCGCGCATTCTTTTGGTTTGAGCAAACTGCACGGTAATAGCGATACCAGGAGTCCTTAGTAGCGAAACCAGGGGCCCCTAGTAGCGTCCTTTGTGACTCAAAACCTTAGGCACAGGTGTGGACACACACACACACGATGTCAATACTGCAGTCTCCCTCGTTTAGCATGACCGACATCACCTATGGATCGCTTATTTTTGGTCCGTTAAAACATCAAAAAACACACCATTCTACAGCAAAAATGACCTCCCGAGCTAAAGCTTAAGCTATGTGCTATCTAGCAATTCTAGCGGTGAGTGTGCGACCAGGGATAATGCCTCAGTACCTTCGGTGCCGGGCGGTTTTAAATGAGCATGGTGACCGCGCTGGCCGCAATCGGCTGAGCTTGGAACCGCAATGCCAACATTTAGCGTTCACGGGCTAGCGAGAGGTCCCTGTCCTTGCACAAGGTCGCGCTAATGCCACAAATGCAACGAAAACCATTGAAGTGTGCAAGATTGCCAGTCAAGCCCTTGGCAATCGGGCCAGAAAAAGGTGCACGGCAGCCAAGCTCTGTGGGGTGCGAAGACCGGGACTCCAAGTCAGCCAAGTAAACAAATTCATTGGTTTGGGATGTCGTCTGACAACTGGGGCCCTTTGTGTAGGCACAGTATGGCACAGTAATTAGCACAGTTGTTACCCTACACCGGAGTACCATGTGGAAACGACCACTCCCCTGTTGTGTTCATTGCACTGGACGCCGGGCAAGTCTCAGCCCAACAGCAGCATCTAACCCAACCAAACCTACCTCTTGTCTACCAATGGTGCATTCCTTGCAGCTCCTTGATTTCGGTGTTCAAGGCAGATATGCACCCCCTGGTCTTTAATGCTCTTTAAACCCATCTGAACAAACCAAACAGTTCTTCTCCGCTCAGCCGCTCCGTGAATTGTACAATCCCATGAGACTTTGGTCACACTTCGCACGCACAAAGCAGAGTTGAACAGCGGCTTTGGCTTCGCGCCGCCTGATCTCGGACAGTGGAAGGCACGGTAAAGCTTTCCAAACGACCTACAAGAATACCAACACAACGTGCGGCTACAAGGGACCGAAACACATGGGAAAAACTCCAACTTAATGGTCTGTTTCTGTAGATCACTGCAGGGTCCTCCAAATATCCCAACCAAAAGAGAAAGGCCCATGGCACTGCCCATGGCCTATCAGATCCTGCCCGCCCCCTCCATTCGTCGAAGCATCCACTGCCAAGGCCCAATCCCCCTGTAGGGGACGACGGGTGGGCAACGGCAGCAGCTCGCTGCGCGGATAGTCTCGCACTTGGCCGTTGGGTAAGCGAACCTCACATCGGAGCTCCTGACGCAAAAGGAAGGTCTGATGAGGGCTCCAGGTATCTCCGCTTGCTCAACCAGCTTGTGATGAGGGGCTCCAGGTTGACCCATAGAAATCCAATCCAAACAACGCATATATACACTCCTGGGAAAAGTGGAAAATGGATGAACATGCGCCTTTGGAAGAGCATGAAATCCTTTACAAACAGGTGGTGAACTCCACTTCCATGTGATGTGTTCGTCGGAGGGTACCACTCCCCGAGTCATGGTCCTGATAAGATCTGGAAAGTGGATGGGGAAAGGCCATGAGATTCCCGAATACCAACCTGGGGGCCTCCACAAAACCATGCGCCACTTGGGGGAGGGTACCGCCTCAGTCAAAAACCCTTTAACGGTCCGGTCGGCGACTGGACTTGTGCGCTCTCACGATCTCTCCGTAAGCTGAGATCTCCAGCTTCAAAACCTGAAGTGTTTGGCGTACAGCGTGCACATCGACTTAGGCCGACAGTCTCCTTGCCAACCTTGATCTGTTTCAGAAAGGCCACCACAGTCGCTTCACCCACCACCTGCAGCTGGCTAACGTGGAAGGTACCGTTTGTTTAAACACATTTCGCCCGGTGGCTGTGCCCAGGAGCATCAGGGATTCCTACGATTTCCATCCCTTGCCAGCCTGGCACGGAATGCCAGCAACAGACAGTGCGGCAAACTCCAACTTCCTGCCTTAGAGGCCAAAGTCATGGATCCGAGCCTCCGAGCTCCGAAGACTTCCGTTTTCGGTCATGGACCAGTTGCAGGTGATTCTTGGCCGATTAGCCGGAGTTGCAATGGAACGATGCTGGAGGGTTCACCGCCTCCTTTTTCAACCACGGGTGCCTCTGAGCACCAAACCTATTCCTGGGTCACCCATTCACACCTATACAAGCTGTCGGATCTTCGTTCTCCTCTAAGCCCTGTTTCGCTGTCGGTCATGTCGGCTCCATCTCGAAAATCCTTCCACTTCCTACATCGGCGGCAGCCGGAGTGCCCCATCGGTGCCTCATGGGAGTTCTGATTCAGTTCACCACGTTTCACTCCTGTGACACCCAGCTTTGTGGCTTTCGATCGCTCCAGTCGGACTCCGACGTGGCCACCACAAAGGGGTCCTTGGCGCGGAAGTAGGGTGTCCGATGTTGGCGCGATTTGGGTGCCAGTCAGAAGGTCATCTCGTAGAGACTAAGAGACTGTCAGGAGCACGAGCAATCTCTACTTTGCTCCCTACGCCGAGCATCGCTGAGGTCATAGCCCGGTCGCTTCCGAAGTTGTCCAAACTTGCAGAGTCTCTGCTCCTAACTGGGCCGGACGGGCCCGACTCTACAGGTCTCCGAAGTGTGGGTGGCTTTTGGAAGACTAGACTTGGTGACCTGTAGAGTCGTGTTCTGGTAAGTATGTATGTATGTATGTACGTATGTAAACACTATATATATATATATTAAGATCCCCGTTGAAATTCAGGGCGTGGGGTCGAGGCAGTCCTTTTGTAGTAAAAACCACTTTTTGGCTCTACAAAATGAACCTATCTACAAAATGAGGGGTGTAAAAAAAAGTACGACAAACCATGAAATACCTACAAAATGCAGCGCTCGAGGTCACTGTATGTCATTGTGTAGAAACATGAAAACTGCACAAAATCTACAGAATGATGGGCCGTCCCAGCGAATTAAAAAAAACGACATCATTTTGTAGAGTTTGTTGTCTCCTTATTCTCTACTAGATGAGTCCGTTTGTCTACAAACTGATCAAGTCTATTCGGCCTTTCAACTTTACAAAAAGTGTTCCCCCATAGTTCTCCGGGGTGAACAACTTTTCATTACAGGTTCATGGAGGAGATCAAACTTTCCGACTGAGTGGCCTTACAATAAATTTATGTTGGCCATCTTTAAAATGATGTTACGGCCTTACAAAGTGATTCAGATTGCTTACAGAATGAATTGTTGCACTACCACATGGCCATTCTATAGTAAACTAATGTTATTACAAAATGGTGGGACCCACCCCCCTTCTTTCACTACAAAAGACTCTGCGCGCCGTAGGTGTCAAACACGCCTGTCTACAAAATGCTAGGCCGTAACATCATTTTAAAGATGGCCAACATAAATTTATTACAAAATGAAAGCCCTATAGTGGCCTCCAGGCCCATCATTTTAGAAAGGAAATTTCAACGGGGATATATTAAGAGCCGCGGGGTGAGGCAAGGGACAGCGCCAGTGACGTGCAACTGAACTTTTTGCAAGCAATGCGCTGCAAAACTCTATACAAGCACTCGCGGAAAAATGGGCTCTTTAGTCGAACTTTTGGCCCCAAAACTGGGCCCATTGTCACCAACATGGGGCCGTCCCTTCTTCCGAAAGCTACCGCCCTGCCAGATTTTGCGCCCTGTTCTTGGAGCCAAAAAGCTGCACAATTGCACTGCTATAGCCGCTATAATTGGACCACCATGGGGTCTGGAATCATGATTCTTTCTGATAACTTGTCGGTGTCGGGCAACACAACGACTGGTCCCCAAATTTCAACGGCAGTTTTGTGGCCACTGGCCACAACTTTATTGGGATGGGATGGGCAACCATGTGGTCCTGACAGTTGTGGTATTTAATTGGCAAAGGTGACCTCGCATGTGGCCCAGAAAGTCGTGATATTTACGGCCCTGCCTTTGGTGGTTGTGGGTGGCCCCGCTTCGCGTGTTATTTACAGGAATGGCCACGTTCACCCTGTCTGGGAATTAAAAAGTTATTACTAATATATTACATATATAACTGGCGGGGATGAAGCGGATGAGGGAAACGCAATGTTTTTGACGAAGGGCGAAGTTGTTGACTCCGCCCTCGCACCTGTTTTCTAGATTTTTCTAGCATTGTATCAAGGACTGCTTCCCAACCGTGCCCTTTGAAGTGGCACTGTGCAATGTCTTTGGGCATGCTGTACTGTAGCCGCCGAGATTGCACTGTACCAAGTAAGCGGTTCTGCAGCGCCAGAAATAAGGCCACAAAACCTTGCGAAAAGACACTTCGGTGTGCTGCTTTGCCCCTAAAGAGACACGGAATCTGGTAGTGGTAGAGAAATGAGCAATTCAGGGTGACTTCGATTCTGAAGATTGGCCTATTCGGCGTGATTGGACATCTCATGGGGCAAGAGGGGGGGTGTATAAGTTGTCATGATACAGATCCGACTGTGCCAACCAACCCCCCAAGCGTCCAAGCTCCTGTGAAGCTGCTACTGCCAATACCTGCTGGTACTGGGCATTCTCCACAAGCCCGCCAGGTGGCGTTTCAGGGGGTGCGGCCAAGGCAGTCTGAGACGCTGGGCGCAAGGCCAAAGCCCCAGTGAGGAGGCTCAAAGCCATGGCGTTTCGCGGCGCAAAAAGCGATAAACAATTCAGGTACGCGTCAGGATGGGCCGTGTTTCTTCAGGAAGAGTTGGTGATCTGGGAAAGTTTGGCTCGCAGAACAATAACTCGTAGGGGGAAGAAAGAACATGGGGAAACCGCGGAGTATACTGAGTAGTATACTGTTTGCTTACTCCTAAGAATTCCAGCCGAAGCCATTCGGTTACCAACATGTCCGACACCATGAACTGGCTCTGCCAGGTTGGTCGCCATCATTCCATTTCTTTGGAGGGAACTTGGAGATAACTTTCTTTCTTCCACAACAGCGGAATGGAAACGCTGCAACGACCCGCTCGCGAGTGGAAACGAAGTTTGAACCGAACCACACTGTGGACCGAAAAGCCTTGGCAGCTGAAAGGATGTCACTTTTGAACCTTGTGTTCTTTCTACGCGGAAGCTCCCCGCGACATGGTTTTTTCTTGCTTTCGGCTTAGGGTTGAGCCCTCTATTGCCTATATATATATATATATTTATCCTGGAATCGAGGCCACATGTTGGCTTCTCAGCTGGAGCGTCTTGCACCTCCAGCATCGGTCGAAAGCCAGCTTGAACGAGTGACGAGTACTACGAGTGACTGGCAACTGGATCCAGCCCCAAAAAGCCACGCGTTTGAAGTGTGGGAAAGCAGGATCCCTTGGAGTTGAAAAGGTCCATGTTCCCATACTCTGCACACACAGACACCTGAAAGAATGGTACACTGACACATACTGATACAGCGGTATCCGTGTGACATGCCGCGCAAGAGGCAACTAGACCTGGACTCTCTAACATGCAAGCGCCCCAATTTCTTCACTTTCGCGGGCGTTGTTGTCTGGCGCAAGATGCACATTGCTATGATTGCCAGTTTTTCCAAGCCGAACCACCTTCGCCACCAAGGCAGAACGAAGCTCTCATCCGAGGCCGCGCGGTGTTGCAAGGTTCGCATGCGGCATTCCGTTTTCACATCTCCTGGCAACCGACGGAAACGTGTCGGAACATGACCTCGAATTAGACTGTGACTATGACTGGGTGGCATTATGTGGCAGTGGACGACCGGATGCCCAACGGGGACGACCGGTGCACCGGTGCACCACCTGGCTTCAGTGGTTCATTCTGAGTGATGCCGCTCGGTCTGCGCACCATCAGCGCACGGCCCACCTTTCAGCAATCTCCGGCGGTATTCTTGCTGATCCAGGTGACACATTTTGCTCCAGGGAGCTCAAAACTATCCACTGGCGTGTGGCTGTACTATCGCTTGTCTGGGTGTCAAGTTGCCAAACTCATTCGCACAAGATTCTAGTGCTGGAGCCTTCTGGAAGAGCGCCCGAGAGCAGACTTCCAACCGTCTCTCGACACCCAGTCGTAGTAAGCAACAACCTCTGATACCCTCCGTATCGAGTCATGCTGCCGCTCGGGATCCTTCACCGGGTCATCCGATAGGTGTCGGGGATCTGCTTCATTTCGTACCTCAGAAAATTGAGGCTGGTCGAGGTCCGGGAGCTTTTTCCGCAGGTGACCGCAGGTGGGTCAAACCCTCTGGTCCGGGGGGACGGGTTGGAATTTCCGTGAAGACTATGTCAGTTTGGTGGTGTAAAATCTGTCCCGAACCCCAAATCGGATTCTCCAGCAGGCCAGCAGAAACACAGCCGCCATTTCAGCCCCTTCTACTCTCCAGGTCGAATCATTGAAACATACCTTGACATCAGAAGACATCTCTTGACATCAGAAGTTGACCAGAGAACTGTATTTGGAATGTTTTGGATGACTCTTGACTCCATCATTGGTTTTACATCATTGGAGGACATCATTCTCTCTGGAGGTCCTCGTTCCCGGCCGTCAACGCTAGACGGACGCCGCCGCCGACCCAAGCCACGGCCGAACGAACAAGATCACATGTAAATGGCATGGCGAAAGGATGACGATTCTCCGGCGAATCGTACCAAACAAGTGGTTTCTACGGGTTTTTATGGGTTTTTCCACTTCCATGTGTAGTCAGTCAGAGGGTAACCCCAGCCACGCGCAGGTGAGCTGCTCATCTTCTGTGCCCTTGAGGAACTCTCTCATGGCCTGATGTTCCTCTTCCAAGCTTTGCTCTCTTCGGCTCACGGAGCGCGCTCGCATGTCCTTGGGAAAAATGCTCCCCGACCAGGGCCGAGGGAACACCACCTGCATGGACACGCAGGTGGAAACAGTATGAAACAGTCGTGTCAGCCACCAAACCCAGAAGCATCCAACAACACCAAACACCATCCCCCTCATTCCCCCTCTTGTTTTCACCTCACCCTACCTCTCCCGTCTCCGATCAAAAACCATCGGAACCACCACCACTGGTCACCCCTTTCTCTTTCACTGTGGCTCCCGCATCTCGAACTGTCGATCCAAGATGGTCGTCGTCACGCTGATGGCGGCGAAGAGCGTCACCAGCAGCGGGAGCCCCGCCGTCAGCAGCCCGGAGCGCTCGTCGAAGCGCACGGCTCGGCGGTACCAGAAGCGCAGCAGTGGGAAGCTCTGAGCCTTGGGGGAGGAAGAGCCCAGTGGGGGATCAGCTTAGGTTTCCAGAAGACAAAATTGATGTTCATCATTGTTCATCCTAAGGTGCTAGAGCAACAGGAAGCCACGAAGCCTACCTACCTAGCACTACACATGTCTGTATAGTGAACATCTTCGACAGTGCATGTTTCAAGATCTTTAGAGCGGGCAGGTCCAAAGATGTCTTCCAGAAAGCAGGACTATCGGACAAAAAGCGGAGGCCAACAAAGCGAGACACCTTTCTGAAGATATCGTACTTGATTCCCAGCATGGCGGAAAATCGGCCGAAGCTTTCGTTGGTCGACCGCAACGAGCGGCCGCCCGAAGCGGGGCGAAAAATGGCTGCGAGCCGATGGTAGTCGGGCGAGTGGGTGAAGCATGGTGAAGCTATACATTGCCATACATCTCTTAACAGCCCAATTCTCACACCATCGTCGTTTTCTTCAAAGCTCATATATCAATAAACATCGTCCTTTCCGTTTCGTAAGGGGGGGGCCTCCAGGAAATGTAAGTTACCACCTCCAAAATGTATCAAAATGTAGTATTTGATTTTGTAAGTCGATGAAGTTACATATACACTCATTTAAAAATATGTAACTTACGTTTATGCAAACCCCCCTAAAGAAGCCTAAATGTATGGGCCCTCTGCTACGCAGCGAGGGGAAGTTACATTTCCCACCCCCTCCTTCTTTTCCTGGTCAAGAAAACACAGCAAATACCAACAATACCACCAACTATAATCAACTGACTAAGAGATTCCTGGATATTCCGAGGGAACACTAGGAGAGGCAGCTAGGCAAATACCATAATTAGGGGGAAGTTTTATTTTGACATTTTGAAGGATTGGGGAGCTCCAGAAATGTATTTACAATAGCTTTGTCGCCTCCCTTCCCCTTCCAAAATGTAAGTTACATTTCCTAGACGTCCCCCGCTGTTTCATACCGCGCAAGGGGGGTAGGGATTATATATCAAACGTGAAGCCTATTGGCGCAGTTCATCACAACATCGGTGGAAGGAAGGTCGATGCGTTGGAATGCGTTGGAGTGCTATGTCCGGCTCGATCCAGTTCTGGTTCAACCTGATCCATGTAAGCTATGCCTGGCTGGATCAGAATCAGCTGCGACCACTAGAGTCACTAGAACCCCCTGCATGAAGAAGTTTTTACAATCCAAGCCTCTAAATGGAGGAGTCTATGAGATGAACATCGCAAACCGCCTCTCTCTCTCTCTCTGCCCGGTTCACAGTTGAAGGCTCTTTCTTCCCTGACCCACTGCTACAAGCTGGAACCAAGGAATGATTAAGGATGCTCACCCACTTGCTCACCAACATGCAGAAACACCACGTCGCCAGAAACACCACGTTGCCGCGCCAGATGCACCCCGGTTGGAAGAACCATCTGGGTGGGTCGGATGGCCCGGCCCGTCCTGAACGGATTGGGCGTCCGCTGCCGGCGACATCGGGTGCGATGCACTGAGCCAAACGGGTTTTCGAAAAGACCTGGCACCAGTCCTGATCAACATCAACCGGAAAATCCAGGTGGGATGAAGAAGATACTGATTGCATTTAGCGTCCTCCAAGACGCGCAACTAGGAGTAAATCACTCATATATTCTCATATCATAGATTTTCATAGATGCACGTAACAGCTTTTAACGCATCCCAATCGCTGCCACCAGCATTCACACGAATTTGACAAGCCAATTCCATAGGCCACTGCACGTGGAGAAGTTCAAGTGCTGCAAGCGTAGCTTGACCCAGAAAAATTGCTAGCGAGAGCTGTACGGCTGTACGAAAGAGAGCTTGCATACACTCACAAGAACCAACAGGACCAACAGGTCTACATGGAGAACGTACTGCTGATGAAGGAGACTCGTGCAATTTGTAGCCCATGATTGGGAGGATCAGTTTGATGTTGTGGAGAGACATACATACGCTGGGCTCTCAAACAGCAGGGTCGAAAGCTTTCGCCACTGCTTGGGATTTTCCGGATGGAGCTCGAACCAAAACACCCCTTTGAGCGCCCAAAATCGGCCCACCAATCCAGCCCAGTCAAGAAACACTGTTCCCCGAAGCTCCGGGTTGTTCTGCGAATGGATGTGTTTTGTCTGGTTACCGTGGGTCGTAGTTCCAGATTCTGTAGATGACACCACCCCCAAAAACCCCTCAGTTCTTAGAGTTACAGATTCTTGCTCATTCTTCAAAAACACCTGTGAGGTGCCCATCTACTCGGACTCACATCCATCTCATGTGCCATGTGTGCCATGTGTATACCCAACCAGGAGAACCTCTCGATCTCGCGGTGGCCCGCACAACTCGCGGTTGGGCTTCCACACCCACAGGCCGAAGCTTGTTTCTGGACCTTGGAATCTGAAGGGGAAGAGGTCTGAAGGGTGGGAGCAACAAACCACGCCGGATGCGCACGGCGTCGGGGGTGATGCCGCATCGGAATGCTGGATGTTGCTGGTAACGTCAGATGCTGGTTGGAGGGAGACCACCGATGCTGCTGACGTAACGTCAGCATCCTACGAAGCCACCGATGCCTCCGACCAACCCAACCGATTGGAACCAGGCCTCCGCTTTCCCAAAGAAGAAGAACTGTTCCCAAAAACAATATTAGTACAATTTGGTATATATATATATATATGTGTGTGTACACATATTGGTTGCTCTATGGTTTTCGATGGCTTTTCCTCCACTTCGTTGAACTTTTACACGGTCCCTAAGAAGGGCATCATGATAATACTGTAACTCACAGCCAGTTTTCACACAAAAAGGTGCACTTTTTTTGGTGCCAGGATTCGCCAGGGCCACCGCCCGCAACACCGAACCAAACCCACCCGGCAAAGCGGGACATTGCAGTCGAATCAGCGCGACGAGGTGGCTGTGAGTCACTGCAGGTCTTTTGGTCAATGAGGTTTCTTCTTTGCAAAGGCTTTCTCGTTCGGACGATCGTCTTCTGGAGGCCTGAATTACTAAAGGGGCCGTCTCTCAAAGCAAAGGCCGTCACCCGCGCGGCCACCAACTGCAAATGAAGTTGAACTCACCATGGCCACCGGTGTAGTTGAATAAAGGAAGTAAGACCACTACATCACCACCTACTTACTTACTTACTTCAGCTGTGGCAAGTAGTAGCAGTTCGGATGACTTGTCACCAATCATCCACCTTGGCTTAAAACATCCGATGTCGGAATGCTTTCTGTGGACCCGGCAAGCTCAGGCGCCTCAAGGGAAGCTCCTTGAGAGCTATGACCTCGGGGACGATCAAGGCAGGAAACGCGTTTGAAGGAACACCTGCTGACCCCCCTCAGCTTCCCTGAAAAAAGAACGGTCAACCCGGTAACCCCAAAAGGTTAAAGGTTATCCACTGATTAAGTAAACCAAAGATTTGAGCGCTATTGCGCAAGATGCTCAGTTTGTCCATTTGAGGGTCACACGTGTTTTGGAGAGAAGGACGTTGTCCGTCCCATACTGAGCTGCACTGCAGCCAACAAAGCAGTATATTTTGCGACCGCCACGTCCACAATAACAGTGCCACTGGATCGTTTTCTCCAGCGGCTTTGCTTCTTTCTCTTTTTTTTGGGGGTGCTTCCAGCTACCTTCGAGGCACAATGTTGGGCACACAAGGCAGTCGCATAATGTCGCCTAGCATCAAGTGTTACGTCCGAGGAGAGAATGACAAAAGAACAATTGGGCTGTGAAGTGCATGGTTGTTCGCCATTGTACTTGCCTTATCTTGCCTTGCTCATGTTTTCCTGGAACCACCCCGATGCGTCGTCAACAGGAAGAACACAGGCACATTAACTTCGTGGAACATGTCAAACAAGGTTGCTTTTGTTCTTTGCTTGGGTTCTGGATCCTATCTTCCATCCGCTTGAGCAATGCTCGAGTTTGGCTGCGCTCTCTCTCTCTCTCTCTGTGCGAGTTGGTGACGCGGTTTCCACCAGGGGTCACGTTCGATTTTCTCTCTTCAGCCCTAGCATTATAGCTACGGCTACAAGTATCAACAACCAGCCTGAGTCACTCCCGTGAAGAAGTACCAAACATGATTGTTTTTATATTTATTCATACACCGGTTTTCATTTTCATGGCTCCCCATGAATTCAACAGTTTCGAGATTCCATTTGACAGGCCAGTGCCACAGGGCCAGGGCGCCACTGGGCCACATGGGCCCCGCTGGGGCGCCCTCACGGCTTCATGCGTGAGATGATTCCTGCCCATCGGATCGATTCCGAAACGGCCTTCGAACCACGGAACGTGGTTAAGAAGGGTATGATTATAAAGAACTATGACAGGAAGGTATAAACACACTGGTTCAGAGATCCACATTGAACCTGAAAACCACTGGTGAAGGTGGAGGACCAGGAAGCGCTCGTCAAACTTCCTTGCAGGTCCATGTCATCAGGTTCCATGTGGGTCTCTTCCCAGGTGTAAGACGCTATCAGGTGTGCGTCCATGCCATCAGGTGATATGTTTTCTAAGATGCCATCGCACGTTGGAGTTCCTCTATCTTTTCGAACAGTTTTTTCGTGCGGTGCTCTCAAGGCTGAGGGACCTTCCAGAAACCCACACCAGCAGGAGTAGAACATTAGAAGACCAAGTGACTAAGCATGCTAATCATGGACAGGTGCAAAACATGTCAAAGAAAAGGGTTGATTTTGCAAATCAATTTCCATATCGAACTCTAAACATCAGTGTGCCCCAACCTGATCCTCCTTCACACCACCTCTGAGTGTGGGACCCTTCCAATTCCAGAACTTCCAAATCTGGCCTGGGCGCAGGACGGGTCAAAAGGGGATCACCGAGAAGTGTCTACATGGAAGGAATTCCTCTTTGGCTTCCCTTTCCTCAGGGCCAGCGCAAGCTGGCTCAATCTGTGACCCTGCAAAGACCAAGCTCCTGACCCACGAGCCATGCGAAGCCAACCGAGAGCTTGAGAGAGGAGAGCCACCTGAAACGTAACCAGCATCAAGACCATAGAATAGAAACAACATGTTTAAATTGATAACTGGAGAATCAACCAAAAGGCTTGGAACCTCCAAGAATTGAGCCCAAGTGTTGCGAGTATGGCATCCCACCCAAAAACCAAGACCGCAGTGACCAAACTCGCCTCGCACTTTCGTGTATGTCCTGACAGCCGAGGCATCCGGCACTTCCATCCTGCAGTGCCAGCTCATTCAACCGTAGTTCCTCCAGGATCAAGCGGAGAGGCGACCTGAAGGAAAACAGGTCACAGGACTCGCCACTTGCCCGGAACCCTGATGGATAGGCCCCTCCCTGGGATGACTCAATGGGATGCAGCACCGTACTTTTGACATCTAATTCCTGCCATTCATATTCATTCATTGCAATTGTTGCTATGTTCTTTTCGATCTATGTTTTTGTTTTAGATTTATCACCACATGTTGGGGGGGAGTTCAATTTGTGGCCCACATTTCCTATTCACTTTCATTCTTCAAAATTGCTTTATTGGCCAGTGTTCCTATTATTGCTGGTTGATCTCGAAAGAAGCTGGCACCCCTTGCCCAAGCCGGGTGGGCGTGTGGACCCGCCGTCTCCACCATCCAACGCTCTGATTTCGACGTTCGGTGCGCAACTGAACGTAGAGACACGAATGGAAGCAAGCTGGGCATCGTTCGGCCAGCTGCACTTCGAAAAACGGCTGAAAATCGATAAGGAAGCACCAGCTTTGACCAGCCAGAATAGGGCACTCCCAGTCTCAACATGTGACTTTCTTGTGTCCTTTTCCTTCTTTAGCCCCTAGCTGCAGCTGGTGCCTGAAACGCGGCACATTCCTGGTATGCAAATTCATGTGCTCTTTCCAATTTCATTGGGCCCTGTTCAAATCGGGCCACTGCTCGATTTCATGTCTTTGAGACGCGGTCCGGCCCACCTCCCGGCGCGGCTTCAAAGCTTCTCAAAGGGCTGGATGCGCAAGAAGCCCAAGCATTGGGCCAGCTGCCTTCGGACCACCTAGGAGCCACAAGGTCCGCGCCCGAACTGTTTGGCGTTCTCGGCGTGGCAGAAGTTTGGGGAGCTGAAGGAGCCGGGGGTTTGTAAGATGGTGTCACGATGGTGTCTTCTCTTTTAATGATTTCATTTGCCACAGGGAACGCACATTCTTCAAGAGCATTATGAAAATCCAGCAAAGCACAAAAAAAGGGACAGCGGACAGGCTCGAAGTACTCAAAAACTTGCAACTTGAACATGCAGAAACGGTCAGACACTCCTGTAGTTTCCAATCTTGACCTTTGCTAACATAGACCACTTCAAGAGCCTAGCGCTGTACCGTAAAACCACATCAGCCACCTGTTAGATTGAGGACACTGACAAAGACCGAGACCCAAACAGCTTGACCGGTCAGGGCCAGACCCGTGGCCTCCAAAAGGAGCAGTCGACTCTTCTCTTGCTCCGAGCCGATGACGAAGCATTCGGTGTAGAAGGACGTGAAGTCCGTGGCCAAGCCGTAGATGTGATCCTCGGTTGTTTTGGAAAAGGATGGACCAGGGAGGAAGAAGCCTGGTATGGGTTGGAAGGAAAAAGGTGTTCGAAGAGGGTCACTTCTTGGATCGTGATTTTTGAGGATGTGGCCTCTCAGCATAATGATTAATGTTGACTCTTGATTTATAAACTCCCCCCCCCCTCAACAACCAAGGCCTCCAAAATAATGTATAAGAAAATCAATCAATTGATAATGAAATAAGGAATCCTTAGCTAGCTACCCCTGTAGCTACTCTGGCAATACTAAAATGAAATGAATCATGGAATATTAATTACAATAATAAAAGTTTGGACAGCAAAATGAAACATTTGGACAGCTTAAAGACTAAAGAGCCTTGGGTAAGTAAAGCAAATCACAAGGAAAAGAAAGGGAATGAATACAAGTTTACTTAAAGCAACACATTTTTTTAAGCCTGAAATCTCTAGACATTATTCTAGGGCCCCCCCCTAAATAATGTCAGGAAGCTGCTTGCTGGACTACCCCCTTTGCTTGAATGATTTTTTTTGTTTTTCTTTTCAATACTTTTGAATAAGGGATCTTGTAAAGAAAGTGTGCACTGACTTTTGGAAACTTTTTGGAAAGCGTAAAGACTAAAGAGCTTAGGTAAGTAAAGCAAATCAAAAGGAAAAGAAAGGGAATGAATACAAGTTTACTTAAAGCAACATATTTTTTTAAGCCTGAAATCTATAGACGTTATTCTAGGGCCCCCGTAAATAATGTCAGAAAGCCTCCAAAAGCATCAAATCTCAATGGAAATCTCCAAACTTTTAATAGAAATCTCCATCCAAAAGCCTCCAAAAGAATCAAATCTCAATGGAAATCTTCAACTGGTTAATAGAAATCTCCATCCAAAAGCCTCCAAAAGCATCAAATCTCAATGGACATCTCCAAATGTTTAATAGACATCTCCATCCAAAAGCCTGTAAGATAAGCAAATCCCAGCAAACTCAAAAGGAAAAAGACAACTATAACAAAAACATATCCCACTACAACTACCCCTCCCAAAAAAAAGAGAGGCATTATTCTGGGGGCCTTTATAAATCTGTGCAGGAAAAAAGAGTCATTATTCTAGGGGCGTTTATAAATTTGAGGTCTACATGATGCAGATCCTGGACATCACGGACCGATCCTGGACGCCATGAATCTCCGTGGTCCTGCCGGACCGTCCTGCCAGACCGTCCGGCCGTGTCTGACATGGCTGGAGGAAGCACGGCAGTTCAACAACAGTTCACCTGCAATGGTCTGGGGCGCACCGATTGCATCCCATTGTCGACAGGTGCTGGAGGCAAGAAGTACTTGATTGCATTTGAGTGTAAAGACCTGCAATGAGAAGGAGCAAGGAGCAAGGAGCATGCTGAGAAGTCGACCTATCCACAGTTTCAACCTGCAGTTCTGAGCAAAATTTGTGGTACGTTGCACATGCCCAATGAATGATTGGTGCCACCATTTCAGATATTTCAGAACCAATTGGCCGTCCTTCGTCGGCGAGACGATGCACCCCCAACCGTGCGTAACGATCAACGAGCCCTTCAAACCCCCACCGTTTGCCACAAGCTCTGCTGCGAAGGCTCAATCAATCGGCTTGGCAATAAGTCCTCCTCCAGCTGTGCCAGGACCTCTGGCAAGCGCAGCAACCTCAAAGCCAGCGCTCGCTCCTCGGATCGGCGTCGCACTCGCTCTGTCTTTCTCTGTTCATATCTTTTCGCCCTCGACCCGACTGAAGGGACCTCAGGTGAGCATTCATTACCCAAACTGGATGATCGGCGATGAGCGTTCTGGCTCCAAGCTGCTAAGCCACCCCAGACCTGCTGAACGGACAGGAACTGGCACCGGTGGCCAAGGTTACTAACGGACTCACGACCCATAGTAGAATCTTTCTCGACCAAGCAGTGGATTTGTAGATCCATCTGATCTGATTCTAACCTGGACCGGACAATGAGAGCGCTATTCTGGACAGGACAATGAAACCGCTAGCCTACATCTAGAGGTGTTATCTGCATTGAAGGTTTCTCAAAGTACTCCATTGACAATGATTTAATTTGGAAGAACTGGCATGGGGCGTTCCTCCACTGTAAGGTTCTTTCTGTTTTCGACATCTGGATGGTTCCACCCTGTCCAAATGCGAATGCCAAGACTCACTGGGCTCGGTCAAAGACAAGTCGGAGGGACTCAATGTGGAGACGTCGTACTCGGCACGTCTCAGCACCCCAGCAATGCGCGCATAGGCGTAAAGGACGTAAACCGCCGTGTTGCCCTTGGGATCCAGCATCTGGTCGTAGGAAAACCTGTCGGTTTTCTGTGGTGCATCTAAATGTGTGGCTGTTGCATGATCCATCAATTGAACCGGACCTTTGGCCTTACAGGCTGTGAACCAACTCAAAATAAATCAAAATCAATCAAATGCCCCCCCTCTTAGGAAGCAATGGTTGGCCATGCCTATTTCATCCTACTTCTCCCGCATCCAGCCTATAGTCGGAATTCCGATTCTGGCGGAGGTCGAAATACTTCACGGCCGCGACGCCAATGCTCTCCGCATCTCGCTTCAAGTGCTCCTACCAGGTTTGAGGGGCATGCAAGGTGAAATTAAAGCTCCTTCCTCATCCAGCAGGCTACAGCATACACAGCCAAGGCGCGTGACGCGATAACGATCTTGAACCTTCAAATTTCTTGCTGACATGAAATGCCTCCTTGATTGATGCATGCGTGTATGTGGAGAAAGCAAAAATGCAATTATAATATGATATATTATGTTATAGGTATATTCTAATAATGCTTGCTGCTGTCTGAGATTCAACACCTGAAGGCAATCATTCTGACCTCCTGTCGACCATTCAGTGAAGGATAGTGGAGAATCCAACCACTGACTTCTTTGCCTCAAACCTGAAGGCCTGAAGGACTCTGTTACCTGTCCAGCTCGTCTGCTTTCCTTGATGAACAATTCTCAAGCCAATGTTGAACCCAAACCCGTAAAACCTGACCCAGCGTGGCAAAGCTTGCAGGAACCTGTCCCCCAGTCCATCCCAGTCCTCCTGCTCTTCGTCCAGCTCCCGCTGCGCGGCCTCGGCCCGCTTCCGCAGCTCCTTCTCCGAGCGCATGGCGGCCTCGTCCAAGAGGTCCCGCAGGCGGACCACATCGCCCGAACGAGTCTTGAACTTCTTCCCTCAGTTGGACACGAGTCGAGCCTCCGAGCGTCCGTTCGAGCGAACAGAACAGCCCACAACCCTCAACAAAACGCAGTGAAGAACATGCAAGTTTGAAAGGCGTTCGATAGTCTGATGCCCCACAAGCATAAGAGATCCTGAAAGATCCTAAATGGATCTAAATGGAGCGAGAGAGAGAGAGAGAGAGACACATACATATATGTATATATATATATAAAAATGTACCAATGACCTCTCCAATAGCCATCCTTGCTAATGGAAGACTCAAGAAGAACCTGAAGCCTCGAGCCAGCGCTCGATCAAACTTTCGCTGCGCTCACGCCATCTGCAGCTCGCGCCGTGATCGGAGGTTGCCAAGAGTCCATCTTGCCCCTGCACCAATCCAAAGCCCATGAAGTCGAGGCGTTTTTTGACCCTCGAGCCATCCAGCTCCCTCAGCAGCCTTGAACACCATTCGCATGTGTAGCTCCTGGGAAAGGAGGGAGCGGTAGCAGCAGTAGCAAAGTCGGGTTGGATGTTGGTGACGTTGGGGAGGGTTGGGGTTGACGAAGGTTGTGCAACCCTTCTAATTTCAATAGGAACATCTCTGCGACACCCAGGAGGATCAACCTCCCCAAGCAGTGACCAGTTGCACCATTGTCACTATTGCTACTTGAAAGGCCACTGGGTGGTAGCAAATGGTAACTAAATGACACATCTCTTTGCCCCTTTTGAAAGAAACACCAAACGCACTCCACATGAAATTCCAAATCTCAAACTGGTTGGTGGATTCAACTCACGAACGAACAACATCGTCGGGATCAATCATCTCAAGTTAAAGATGTTAAAGGTTATCCGAAACCACCACCCAGCAAATGTCTTTGGCTCTCACTCACATCCTCTTTCGCCGAGCCCCTTGATCCACTCCTGACCGTTGTCAATGACGTAAATCACCCGTTGCGCCTTCTCATCCTGCGGCGTTGGTCAAACATTAAGAGAGGGCAGTTGAGCTTCACGGCACGTGATGTTTTAACAAAAGCGGATGCATCGAACGAGTATGTCATATTGTCTCACCAATGGGAAGTGTTGGAACCACAACGGGACCACGGGAATTGGAACGATCCATTTCAAGAAACCCACCATCTCCTGCACTCGTTGCCTCACGGCCGCACAGTCCGTGGAGTCATAGCCAAAGCCTGGAGCATTGGATCCACCGTCGGGAGCCGGGGAGTCTCCGAGGGGGGAGTCACGGCGTCGTGACTGCGGACACGAGCTCCACCCCGAAGCTCCCGAAGCTCCCGTAGAACGGAAAGATGCTTGGAAACGAGCAGAAAAGGCGTCGATACTCGCGTCTATGAGGGATCTCGCTGTAGTTGGTGGGCTCCCCTTGGAGACAAGTGCCTATCAGCTGCCCACCAGGTGCGAGTGGCCTCCATCGGCTTTCTGAATGATGAGAGGTGTTTCGGAGATATCCGTGAAGACACACAGGGCTCCGTCACTCTCAGTGACCAGGTCTTTCCTGGCGTGCAACGAGTCATCGTTTATCAACTCCTCAAGGCTGCGGATGCAAGTGTGTCCAAAAACTTAGGACTGACACCATCCCCTACAAGTGGGTCATGTCATTTGCCAACTACATTGACGGACAACCACTTAGAACAAAGTGTTTCCAAATCCAAAAGCCTTTACTTAGAACCAAAAGTCGCTATAATCATGCAACCACCTGCGGCCTCTCACATGACTTGTCCATGACTTTGAAAGGCACCACAGTTCGCCAGTTCACCTCCTGGGTTCATTTCCACATTCAGCGCTACGTCTCATCTTCCGATGTTAATTACCCATATTCACTAACAAGGGTTCATTTACACACGGTAGTACTTGAGTTTGAGAATCAACAACGTTCAAAGACCATATTTAGATGAGGGTAGCGGCCAATTTGGGGCCGCTCGCGCGCCCCTTTGGAGAAACCTTGGCGCTTCGAGCAGCTCTCGTCCCTTTCAGGCACCGCATCGGCCCGATGCCGCCCCCGAACTCCTCGCGTGGAGAGAAGAAGGTCGAACAGATTATTCGGCACACCCGGAGGTGATGTGCACCCCGAATTTTTTTTTTTTTTTTTGGTCCAGGCCTTTTCAAGTCTTCCACCACTTCAGGGAGCATCTCGTTGTAGAACGACTCGCCTCGCTCCTCTCAAAATCGGGGTCGTCTCGTCGGCGTCTCGCTCCGGGTCAGAACTGGGTCAGTGACCAAAAGCCTGCCATGAGGGACATTGGTTGATGGGTCTTAACTGGTTTGCGGGGGATTGTAGGGGACAAATCACCAGCCTGGAAGTTCACCCCCCCCCCACTGAGCTCGAACTCGGTACCACCTCTTTGCTCCCGGTCTTTGTGGTCTGGTCGGAGTAGCCGGTGAGATTGGTCTCACCACCATCTGTGTTCGACTGTCTCTCCGCACTCTGCAACAATGAAGGTTTTACTTACACATCTCAGGATGTTTCTCTGTATGGTAGCCCGTGGCGCAATCTTGAATTCCACAGATGCACCCAAAAAGCGTTCATGGCCCACCGCAGAAAAAACCATGCGACCGTCAGAATGTGCTTGGCTCCTTCAAACCCTCAATCTTCAAGCGCTGGTAAACCAAATCGAACTCCTGCAGCATCGTCAGGCACCACAAGCACAAAGTGCAAAGTAAGAGCTGCGGGCACCTCATCGCCCCGCCACCTATTCCGTCTATTTGCATGACACCTCATAGAAAATGAGCCGTTTGATGCTGCTTGCACGTATTTGCACCTCGTCTGTCTTACATCGAACCGCGCCTGCACACCCAAATACACAATGAGGTTGTCCCAACAAAACATGCAACAACCATCAACCCGCCTAACCATTGGGTGTTCATTCATCCTTCATCTTTCCAACCACCACAGCCATTGGAAAACACATAAAAATCATAAAAATGACTATAGTGCACCTGTAGCCTCCATGAAAAATATAGAAACATAGGATATCATAGGATAAATAATTCGGCAACTCAACATATTAATATACGAGTATCATTACTTGACGTCATCCACATTGGCACATTGGGGGGCCGCAGGATACCATGGACAAACCATCATCACATTGTCGCTGGACAAAACAAGGCCTCAGGTATGCCAGGGTGCGCCTGAAGCTTCCAAACACACCGAAACTGGAGTTTTCAGTTGTCCGCGGGCTGTGACTTCAAAACTACCTCTGTCACTCCAGCATCTTCAGGGAATCCAGAATTCACCACCTCTTCAATCGTGCCCCAAAAAGCCACGCCCCTCCCCAAGGTCAAAATGCCCTACCTTTGCAACCAAAGCACCGCTGTCCCTCACCAGGTACGGTGTCCCACCGCTGTCCCTCGCCGTTCTACGCTCCACGGGGCGGACACCGCGCCTTGCGGCTGGCTTGGCAAATGCGGCTCCAGGCCTCGCGCGCCCAAGTGGAGCCGCCTGGGACCCGCGACGAGCATGACGGCGGCACGGCCGGAGCCAAACGGGATGAGGGTGGGTGGATGAAATTGCTTTATTCAATGTGGAGAAAGAAACCGACAATGCTTGAGACTTGAACCTGCTAGGCTCAGACTGGGTCATTCAGAGTTTGATCAAATGATATCAAATGATTCATCTAATTAGCTTACTGAAATGCATCTACGACCATGGTTTGGGCGTAAGTTCTGGGTACAGTATTTAATCCCACTAAGTTGGAGATACACACACATACATTTGACTTCCTCTCATGAGGGATCGGACGTCGGAGATTGACCTGTTATGCACTTCATTATCCACTTATGCAAATACCAGTGACTACAAATACAACAGTATACTATAGTATACCACAGTAGCACTTGGATGGGCAAACGACTTGTTATTGACAAATGGTCAACAATATAGTCTATTATATTGTATTATATATATTATTATGATTTATATAGTTATTTTTTTTGGTATTACTACAGTATATCATATAATACTGCTCCCGGACTCTGTGACAGGTTTGCCACGCTTCCTGCCTTGCAACTCCACCACGTTGCTCTGCGCTGACTTTCGAAAGTCTTCGTCTTCATCAAAGGCCTTCGTTGGTCTGGGCCGCGCCGTTTCGGGCCGCGCTGAAAACGGATCGGTTTTACAAGTGCAGCTGGACCCCCATCGGTTTGCCTGCCTCCCGCTTTGAGGACGAGGCACCCGGATCAGACCAAAACCAAAAACACGGACGCAAGCACATGTTCGAAGGGTTTCTGCATCATCCGTTCCAGCTTTGATGACAAAGCCCTTTCTGTAACACCAGTTGTCACAAATCACGATGGTCTCGCGCGCATGCGCCCCGCGGTAGCGGCACATGCCTGCTTGGCACTTCGGTAGAACTGCTGAAGGTCGCTCACCATCGAAGAAGCTTCTCCATCTAAGGCATCCTGCACCCACTTCACAGTTGAATGTGGCTTGTATGATCTTGCAGTCCCCGTGCCACAGTTCACAAGTTATATCAAGTTATAATGTTCACAAACCATCGTTGCGGGGCCCCTGCAACATCCCGCAACGAGAGTGGCTCAAGTATCAAAGACTGTGAGCGACTTAGCTCACTGGCTGCCAGCCAGTTCATGACATCCGTCTAATCCAAAACGCGAAGCCATCCCAATCCTACCAGCTCCCTACTAAAGGCTTCCAATCCGGTCACAACGACTGGCGCTCGCTCCGAACCGGATGGACTTGCATCAACCGTTCCACCGACCGCGCTCTGAGCGCGACAAGCGCTGGCGCTCCTTGCGGCGCATGTACTCCAGCAGCATTCCAAACTGAGTTCCCCAATCTCCCACATGATTCAGGCGAACCACATCGTGGCCCAAGGAATCGAAGAGGTTGGCCATGGTGTCGCCCAGAATCGTGGAGCGCAAATGGCCCACATGCATCTCCTGAACGGAGCGCACAGGGTACACCGTGTGTTTCCGGGGAGGTGAGGCCAAGCACTGTCATCTGAAACATGCTGTCATCTGAAGCAGCAATTTCGACAGCCAAGCGTGGGGATTGTTCCAGGACACGGCATGATATCGATCTGATCTTCCACGTGATCGATCCAAATGAGGCCAAACGTGCCTAAAGGATCTGGAGAAAAAACACGGTGCAAAACAAACATGAACACCACACACGCTTGTGCACCATATGGTCTGCACCGGACAACGGGTGTTTTCCTCGGAAATCCCACCTTTGCGATGTTGGGCGAGGAGTAGTCAATGACGATCCGCTGTGGATCGCTGCTTCGCAGCTGAAGCGACCCGTGGAAGCGATCTCCGATCTGCTCCTCGGCGGGGGTTCGGCGCTGGGTTCTCGTACGGCTCCAGCGAGGAGCTAAGAGGTATTCGACGACCCCAAAACAGCTTGACGTTAGTATGTTCGTTCTCGTTGCACCACCAAAAAAGAACAGCCACACTACGCAGTGTTTGTCATTCAATGGATATTCCATGGCTGTTGATAGATCTTCATTTTGTTTGGAATGGTTGCCCCCAAACGCTGTGAAAACAGCCCTTTCCCGGTCCAAACATCTCAAAACCATGGATCGACCCCAACGGACCATGTTCGACCCCAACGGATTCGGGATGATTCGATCTGTCTCCGTCCGTCACGGTGCAGTCCTCGATCCATGAAGTCTTAAGCTTCACAGTAATGAAGCCCTGCGGTGCCACGTTCACCTGCCCGAGCGAGTGCGCCACTTTTGCGAATAGAGTGATGGGGGGATTGCAGTGGTTTCAAAAAATCGAGTGATGTAGATTGGCACAAATATCCAAACTTGGTGGTTTATATGGACCCCATGGCAATTTGACATCTGACTGACATCTGACTGACTGCCAGTGCCATTGAACCTCGAAAGGGCGCTTGTCCCTGCGCACCACAGGTAGACAAAAAAAATGGCAACATGAACTGGAGCATGAGGGATCTAGGGAGAAAACGGCTAACATGGATGCTCATGGCCTAAAGTCGAATATGCCGTCAGTTTTGTAGCAAAAGAACCAGACCTCCCAATCCAAAGGGAGGTCTGCGGCTGTACACGCCGGTCTGCATGCACTTTGCAGGTGGCACATTGTTTTTCTCGCTCGCTGCGTTGCATTTCTCGGTCATAGTCATGCCCTCAAATTCTTGCCAGGACAAATGCGATGATGTCGTTGACCACCTCGTCCCGATTTGGCTCATTGAGCAGTTGATGGTAGGCACCATCATAGACTTTCAGCACTGGAAAAGTCGCCTTGGATTTGTTTCAGCAGTCCGGAGGACACCGGGGAGGAAGCCAAACCGTTTCCGGAAACAAAAAACTATGACATCTGAGAAAAGTAAGCCAACGGGAAAGAACAAACACATTCTGGGAACCAGAGCCACCCCACCTCAGTCGGTCTCGATGTCACAAGAATCCCAAAAACAGCCTATACCAGCACCCTGGCTGTTGGAGAATTACAGGTGGCAGGTGATGAGCTGTAGAGGGTGCTGGTAGAATGGGATTTGTAGCAGGTCCCTGGGAAATACCATTACTCATCACCTTAATTCCAGGTGGCCGAAGGGGATGAACCCTGAGTCTCGCACCAGTGGCGATGAACGAACTGAGTTCCTCAAGGAAAGGCGGTGTATGGCGGTGTTTTGCGAGGGAAGGCTTGCGGCTTGATAACCAAGCTCGACCAATTTATACAATTGGTTTACACTACTGGCTGTGACCATCTAGAAATTAAATTGAACATGGACAAACATGCATCTTCGCCATTTTCATTGACCAAGTCTGTAAACAACTACATACGCCTTGCCTTATAGGAACCTTTCAATTTCAACTATATAACTTCAAAGCAACCTTTGGGTCACCGCTCTCAGCCCCTTTCCGTCGCAAGAACCGTCCTTGTGCCGAATAGAGCCGGTCGCTGCTGCCATGCAAGATCAGTGATGGACACTGGAAGGCCTCGGGAAACTGCTCCATAGTGCTGGGCAGCCTGGATTGCCTCAGGCACGATGGGGGTGTTGAAGTCGCACCACCCAGGTTTGGGGAAGACGCTTCAACATCCCATAGGTGTGTGGCGATGGTCACCAGTTCTTGGCCATGGTAAATAAGATCATGTGTCAATCTGAAGTCATGGCCGACATTTCAACACCTTGTATATAAATGGGTAGTGCCGCAATCAAACCTTTTCATCGGTGATGCCAGAAGCAACCCAAACATCAACAACACCCATCAGCATACTCAGCATATCAAGTCACTCTTGCAGAATCTCTGCCAGAACCCGCGCCCGATACCCCTGTCGCCAGATCAGCGCATCCCGTGCCATGCGCTCAATCGCTTGAGGATCACGACAAATCAGGTCCGGATCGACTGGATCAGTGGCGATCATCTTGGGAAACCACCGCGAGAAGTGCCTCAAAGGACGTGAGGATGTGTGTTTTTCTGAGCCACTGGCTGCGTGATGCGTGCCTTCGCGTACAAAAAAAGGCCCTCAAGACCTTATGTCAAACTCTGACAAATATCTTGATACGGGTTGTTGCACTGCGAATATCATCCTTTTGATGTTCCAAATGCATTCATCATCACCCAGACTGGCGATCAGTTGCTGTCAGCTCCGAGTTGCTCCAGTTGGCCATCACCGCCGTGTCCAGGGACCACTGCACATGGAGACAAAGGTTGACTAGCGCATGAGGCGTCCAGGCCGCAGCGCCCACTGCTCTCGGCTAGAAAGCCTCAGGCGACGGCCACGTGGCGTGGAGGGCTTTCCCTACAAAGGACACAAGGGCACAAGTTACCGTAGTGGTCCGCAGTGTGTCTCCAAAGGCCATAAAAGTCGCAGGTTCATGAGCACCCGACAAGCCACTCACTTTGCACAAAGGTATCCGGTGAGGGTAGATCTATGTAGATCTCAGGTGAAACTCAATGGCCGAAGGCCGAGCTGGGGACATTGTTTGTACCAGTACAATAGTAATTCTTACCAACCTTCTAGTGGTATGTTGTAAAGGACTTATTTTGATAGAAAGGGTGCGACATGGCTAAGCTTAAAACAATATACATATCTATAAATAAATAAATATATATATATTCATAATCCGACAAGAAGTGCACGCCCAGCGACTGTTGAATTGGAAGCCTGGAGAAAGCAACACCACCACCGGCACCGTCTTTGTTTCCTTGGAATTGCTTGGGGCCTGGAGCAAACGAGGAACATGCTAAATATTTTGGGTCTATCCTATTCCCTGTAACAGCGGATGATGATGGTTTGTAAAGGCCTTCCTCTAAAATAGTCATACTGCAATTAGTTGTTTACTGGCTGTTACAGGTAGTGGGGACACCCCCAACATGATTAATAATTCAACATAATGTTCTCGTCATTTCTCGTCAATTTGGGTCTATCCCCTCTGGTAAGCTTAATGGCTCAATGAAACAACAATTGCATCTCCCCCCTAGATTCCCGGCCAAACGCAGTGGAATTGCAGGCCCACTGAGCGCTCCAAAAAAACACACGTCAGGTGAACCAAACACCCAAAACCAAACAAAACTCAGCAAAAGGTTCCACAAGGCGGCCTCGGTACTCGCACGAGGGCTTGGATCTCGGGGAGGGCCTGCAACAGCAGCAACGCACCAAAGCCCTTCGCCACCAAAACCAGCCCAGGGGCGGGTGGAGGCGACGTCCGGTCGTTGCCAGCTTCCTTCAGCGCCTCGAATGAAATTCTGACCTTCTGCTTCTTCCAGTTTTCCGAAATCTCCCAGCTTGAAAGCATGCCATTTCTTTAAAATGTCTGGCAGTTGAACCACTGTGCAAGAGATGAAACACATGTGTGGGTATGACGCATACCTAAGACTGCGTATTAAAAAACATGACATCAACACATGTCTTGCCAGCCCTGACCTCTGCCCACTTGGTCCTTACAAAGGTCACAAAGTCCTCTTTGACCTCCTGGAAGCTCTCGAAGTATCCCCGCGCTCCATCTGACTGCCCGAAGCCCTGGGCATCCATCGCCAGGCAACGACAGCCCACGGTGGCCAAGCGCACCGCCAAGGCGTTGTACCAGCTGGCGTGTTCCTGGGACGCTTTGGAAGCCGGGACAAAAAGAAGACAAACACACGCACACACACTACGCGCAGTACGCGTAGTGTGTGTGTATATATATATTGTATATATAATGTTAGATTGGCATTAGTATGGGGGTGCATAATTAAACAAACCAATTGTCCAGGAAACAATCCAGATCTAATTTGATTTCGTATTCGACCAAAAATGATCCATAATTAGCACTGCGCCACACTCAGGATCCATAATTAAAAAAATCGAACTCCGAAAAAGTACTACTACTACTCCTACTACTACTGCTGCTGCTACTACTACTACTACTACTACTCCTCTTACTACTGCCTACTACTCCTCCTACTACCTACTACCTACGACCTACGACTTACGACTTACGACGACGACGACTACTACTACTCCAAGGGCCCTTTATTACAGACCCTCCCAAAAAGTACGTCAAACAGAAATGGCCAGCGGGGCCGTACAAACTAAAAACGAATCTAACATTATATATCAACTGCCCAGTCTAGAGGATTGATCCAAAATAAAAACATCACCCGATCCACAACACCAAATGTCCGTCTCCCCGTGGTGGATGAAGACCACCGCGCGAGGTGGCTTTTCACCACGCGATCCGTGGAAAGACTTGGTCGATCCACTCTCCCAACGTTGGAAGTAGAGATCCAAATGTCCAGCGGAGCTTACCATGAGATTCGTTTCAGGCCTGGCGGTCACCAACTTCTTTTCAAGAAATGTGGGCTTTCCGAAGGAAGCTGAGCTGCAGCATTCAAAGAGCGCCTGAGGCAGTAGGAACATGCTGCTTTACCAGCACTGTAAGCCATCTGCAGCTGCTCCCGCTGTATGGCAAGCAGTTTGGGGCATTGCTGTGCCCATAAGCCAAGCTTCGACTACAAGCTACCAGCTAGAATGCCTTCCATATATTATATATATGTATGTATACGGTATATAATATCTACATATATAATCATATATAATCATATAATATATACATACATAAATGTGTGTGCAACAAATCCAAAATTGCCCGTGTCATTCTCAAAGCACCCTCATTTACTCTCAATCCCTTGATGAACTGCGACACTGCCTTGATCCCAGCTCCTCGAGGGCATCTTTCACATATGCCACATTGGAGTTGAGTGCTCCCGTCAAGGCAGGAAAACCGCCGTTTATGTGCTCTTTCTTGGCAACTCTTCCGAAGGACCAAAACGACTACCCTGCACGAAGAACCAGCAAGTTGGAATGATGCCTCTCAAAGCATCTCAATCCTCCTTGTGTGATGGTGCCTGAAATAGACCCCATGTGGAGCGCTTCATGTCCCTTCCCCATCGCTTACACTGAAGCGATGACCGGGTTGGATCTGGTTTTCACCTGTTTTCACCCGGTCTACGGATGACCGGTGCCGGATGGTGCCGGAGCC